ACGTCATGGGAAACTTGTTTTCTTTTTTTTGTCCAACACGACGAGCAGTTTTGAAATATTTGAGAGATAATATTGGATTAAGGAAGTGAAGGCCTTGGTGAAAAACGTTGTTGTTACAAATTTGTCATTTCAACTCTGTGTTCCATAAACGGTTCCTTTCTCCTTTTTTGGATTTCAAGTTGTCACATTACTCTACAGGAAAAGAAATATCATGATTAGGAAAATGGCATTTTGCACTTTTTTAAGGGTTCGCCTACAAAGTGTCCGTGTACGACATCTAAGAGATTCACGATGACCCATACCCCTATAAACATTACATTCAAGATTGCTACTAAAGTATGTCGTTTCCATTGACAACGCCATATAGCCATGACAGCCATGTTCTGATATCGAGTCTCAATTGCTAGAGAAACGCTGATGAAAAACCATTCTATTACCAGCATGACTGAAGTGGAAAGGGCAAACTCTTGAATTATGCTTGTGAAAGAAGTCGTTTCTAGAAAGATCAGTTGGTACATGTAGAGGGAGCCATTGACAGAAACTATAGCGGTTGATTCGTACAACATACTCATGATAGCTACATCGGCCACAAGCCTTTCTCGGCGAGAAGTTCGAAAACTTCCCCATGGAGATGCCTTTCTTGTCCGAAGCGAATGACAAACGTGATCAGTCACAACTATGGTGCTTCGTTCTACGACTTCTGCAGCACCGTGAATTATTCCAAGAATAGCGATGGATTGTAGACTGTTAAGTTCCAGTTGTAAACTACGGACCATTATCGCTGACACAAAATACAAAGGTGCTAAAAGTACGTACGAATATCCCGGATGAGTGATGTTCCATAGACGCTGAACACAAATTCGTGACGCGGCCTTAAGTACCAGCCCAGCAAGAGGAGAAAAAAGGGCAATAACCAGCTTTCTTTCTTCTTTCTTTTCTTTGTTGTATGCCGGGTAAATGAAGAGTCTCATACAACAACCCAAAATAACAAAGCTAATAGTTGGAACAAACATTTTACAGAGCAGGAGTATTCGTTTCCGTTTTGGTCGATTTAAAAAGTTACTTGCCACAAGATAAAACTGCAACATTGAACTGCATACCCAAAGAGTATAAACTGGAACATTGTACAAGGCAGAAAGTGTGAAAAAAGGCTTTCCGATAAGTTGCAGTGTTACGCGGTAAAGTGAATCCAGACAGTATATAATTAGACAAGTCAGGAGTAGTTTTTGTTTGAGTCCTTTCAGCTGAAACGAGCGAAACAAAAATAGTAAATTCAAAACCGGAGAGAAGTAAATTAAAGAGGTACTAACTATGTCAGCTATAGTCCTCATCCACTGTTGGCGCGAAGTCATTTTCTCCTTTTGATATTGACAATTCATCACTGTTTTATAAATCAGGAAAGCTAATGCGATGTATATGGTACCAATGCTAATGGAGGCCAGGAGTGAGATCAAAGATCCAATAAACATTGAGTCACAAATGGTGTGTCGAATAGAAGGTCTGAATGTCTTCCAAGCCATTGCTCCAGCTGTTTCTGTATCTTTATTCTGCAGTGGTTCATCGTGCTCCAGTGTAGAGCTCGCATTTATAATCCGTATGTTGAGATTAAATGACGGTGGTGATGCTCTATTTTCACCGTATTCTTGATAAATTAGTTCTTTCACAGGTTTATAATACCATTCTCGCCCTTTGCTTTCCAGAGGATGGTAGCCTAAAATCTCTGCTGTGTATTCGGGTTCCTCTGGATTGTAGTGCTCAGTTAATCCTCGTGTAAAACCATACACGATGCGGCCAAATGCTTCTATTAGTGGAACGCTACTCATTTCCCTTTGTTGGTAGTAGCAGTGTCTCACTGCATTTTGGCTAGAAAAGCTTGTAAATAGAACACCCGGAAACTTCGTAATTTATGCGGAATAATTAGGAGTAGCTGAACGGATGTAGCAGCTCTACTAATTCGATACCCCAACTGTGAAACAGTGAGGAAATAATGATAAACAATGATGTGTTAGTGTTTTCTGCGACTAATAAGGAAACACCTTTCGCGCTTTCCTTGTACCCCTAGAATTACTTGTGTTCGAAATGTCGTTTAGTTTGTTGAAGCCCTTGTGCTAGCAGTAAAATGAATGGCAAACTAGTCCCAACCGCTTTTTTATACGGTATGGCATCAATTAGCATGATCCGATGATCGGGTGGGGATAGACCCTATACTACAAAACGAGAAGACGTCCGTTGCTAATTACAAACTTGACTCCGACGACTTTTCGAAAGTATGCCAATATTAATTTTTAATGTTTGTCCTTATGCCCTGGTTACTTTTAAAATCATCCGGTTCAAATCAAATCAAATCAAATCCTTTATTTAGACACGTAACACCCAGGAGCACTAAAGTTCTGGTTAAAACGTGTACGTGTATACAAATTAGAAAATTTAAAATTTAAAAAAAAAAATTATGCTAGAAACCTATACATGACTACTGTAAAAATACTAGCCATAAATAGATCTACAAAATGGCTAAAAGCAGAATCTAAAACTAAAACTATTTACAAGCACTCCACCCTAAGCCATGTGAGCTTTAAGAGATCGCTTAAATGACGCAATGTCTTGTGATTCTCTGACTTTTGGAGGTAACGCATTCCAAAGTTTGCTGGCTAAAAATGTAAAGGATCGATGCTTAAACTCCAGATTAAAGGGACGTAGATCTAGCCTTGTGCTAAGCCCGAGTAAGTTGTACGGTACATCCTTAAAATTAAAAAATTCTCTGATATAAGGTGCCCCCTTGTCATATAAGCATCTGTATAACATAACTAACGATTGGAATTGCCTACGTTTCTCCAAGGACTTGATATCAGCCATCTTGAGGAGGAAGTCATATGACATAGACCTCGAATAGCCTAATATAGTTCTTAATATAAAATAATTAGTTGTCTCTATTTTGGTAGTCTCCGCATTGCCTACTCCCAGTAAAAGGGGACTACAGTTCTCTAGGTGAGGGAGAAAATAAACCTTGTAGAGACGAACTAATACATCCTTAGAAATGAACTTACGTATTCTCCGCAGAGCCGAAGCCTTTTCACAGGCCTTATTCAGCTGTTCCTTTATGTGCGCCTTAAATGTTAATTTACTATCTAGGACCACTCCTAGGATTTTAAGTGTATCCTTCGTATGGACATTAGAATCATTAAGATCGAATTCGTACTGGTATGAAGACGGACCAATGGCAATAGCTTGCGTTTTAGCGGCATTAATTTGTAAAAAATTCATTCTAAACCATCTCGATAGCACACTCAGATCGAAGTTACTGCAAAACCATTGGTGAGACATCAGAGGCGTATTGAGTGGTGTCGTCAGCATACAGTCTCAAAGACGTATTAGTAATAAAATAATTAAGATCATTAACAAACATATTAAACAAGAGTGGACCTAACAGGGACCCCTGTGGTACACCAGTTTTAAATATCCTGAACTTGTTGCCAGAAACAATTAAGTATTGGTCTTTGACCAGCGTCTTCAAGGGGAAAGAAGGAATGAAAGCAGGCTTTCAAAAGTGTTCATTCTGCTAAATCAAGCTTCGATCACGATCGGCGGACATGTATGATCAACTCTCCGAAAAGTCATGAAAAATTATCCAAGCGTAAGCCTTCGTATCTTTCCTTTCTCCCAAATTTACTTTCATTAGTCTTAAAACCGCTTCCGTGATCTTAAATATTTATAAAGTTGCTGTTTATTACAAATAGTGCTGAAATATTTCGTCTCAGCGTAAAGCTTAGTTTTGTATGTTTCTTATAATTTCCTTCTACGTCTTCGCCCTTCCGTCTTCGTTGCCTACTTAAGTCAAAATTATTTTAGTCCGCTATGTACACTAGTGTACATCGCCATGGGAAGTCCCAAAGTTAAAACGGGAACGCTTTACAGTTTCGAAACTGCGAACTCTTACCTCGGCTCGATTTCCGCCGCTCTCCCGGTCGGGGCTGCCTAACTCTTACCACCACCATTGAGTATTTCCTGTTTGTAACTTTGTGCGTTCAATCACGTTATTGTTCCTGTGGTGAAACGTTGTTAAAATAATTGTGATAATGGAACGCTGAATGTTTGCGTCAGGTGTTAAAGGGGATGAGACACGGTTGTCTAGTTCATTAGGTTGAAATTGCCTATAACCGCGTCTTTTTTCGTATAGAACTTGACGTTATCAAGGAATTTACTGAAAATGACAAAGTCACAACTTGGTATCAAGCAAATATCTCCCCCAAAGCATTATATCAAACGTTACATACAACAAAATCAAATTGTTAGCTAGGCTGCCAAATTTTCAAAACCCCAATTGCAATCCGTTTTTTAGAATCTTCTTCAAGAAAGCGGAATTTAGAACGTGCTTTGTTTGTTATCATACATTCTCTTATAAAATCCAAATTCCAACAAACTCCCATAGAGCCTGGGCTGCTTGTGTCTGTCTGCTTTTTTTGTCAATTCATGGGAAATAAATTGTACTATGAAAAAGGTCCATCAAATAAGTTTCGTTTGAATGGTGACACCTTCCACGGTGTTTGAAACATAGGCACGTTTACATCTGGTCCAAAACAAACATCGCATAGGTATCAGTTACTTATAGTCAACGTTATTTAGGGTAGTTATTCATATGCAGTGTACGCGTATGGCCGTCGCCTTAGCTCGCTGGAGGTATGTTTTTGAGGTTAAAAACAGCGGAAGATTCAAACTGTAAATAAGACAGCTATAAGTGTACGCTAGAAATGAATCCATCCTCAAAAAACCTCACAATTACAAGATAACAAAACTGTTCGTTGTTTTTAATACTTTCTTACAAAATAAATCACTACTTCAGCGGCCTTAAAAATTCTGTCACTCAGCTTGGGCCTGTGAAGACCTGGCTTGACTTGGGAGAAATATTTAGACAAAGGAAATTTGAACGCAACCTATTCTGACCTCAGGTATATGATCACGAGTGTTTTCAGATATTCGACGTTATGACTGGTGAGACTGCCTCGATGCTGTGTCGAAATGCGCCAAGGGATTGTTTACTGCGTGGTTGCGAGAGAAACTAGGTTAGAATTCGTCCCCGCAAAAAATCCCATAGAGCAATTTGAGATATTTTGAGGTAAGACTGCTCAATACTGTGTTGAAGTGCGCCATGGAATCGTTTATTATGAGGTTGCACAGGAAAATAGGTCAAAATTCGTCCCCTCAAAAATCTCACAAAGCAATTCAACACAACTCTACTCCAGTCTCACGCACAATCATACGGCAACGGACGCAGGCAAGTTCGGACGGCCTGGAACCCAGCGTGCTAACCAAGCCGTGACAAACGTTTTTATTCTACCTTCGCCAAGAAAAGCCTAAAAAGCCTTCTAGACCCTCAAGCTAGCATTTAAATCTATCTGAAGGATTTTTATACATGCTTTATGGAATTCAAAAAAATTTACACTAATGAATTAAAAAATTGCTACTCTTCGTTACCTTGACCTGCTGAGGGTTATCTGCATTTGACATTAATGGACCAAACTCTATAAAAAAAGTCACTTCAACGCTTTTACTATTGCTAACCTTAGTGTTGGCATAGAGTCAAGTAATATTTCTTCCACAAAGGTAATTTATCATCCAACGTTCAGAGGCAGCAATTAGAAAAAGCGTCAGAATTTTTTCTTCCAATCTGGCTGTTTTAAAAAAAACAAACGTCACATTCACTTCACTTTTCATTTTGTCCTTTTGATCTTTTTGTTGGTTTGCTAATGTACCTTGTTCGCGCCAATTAAAAGAGCGACAAAAATAGAAGTCTTGGAGAACCAACATAAAGAAATCAAAACGACTCGACACATTTCACGGCAAAACTGTTTTACACCCAAGAATCGCTTTGTTGTCCTTCAGTTCCTTGTAATTTATACATTTTCTTTTTGCTTTTATCAACTTGGGCGTACAGTGGTTCTTCACGCGGCTGCCTACTATCGTAGGCCGGAGTTAAAGCCTGGGCACCACCGGTACGCTCGGGATCCGGATTATTATCGATTTCCCGATAACCGCCGATATCCTCCATTTCTATTTCATCTCGGCCCTCTCTCGGCGCCCTTCGTCGGCGTATTTCGTCGTCTCCTTCGTAACCGTCGCCTCTGGTGGAAGTACTTGGTGGTGCACCGCTTTTTTCCGGCTCGTAGAATTGAGGTTGAGGAATGGATGTCTCCTCGGCTCTTATCGGACGAGGTTCTCTTTTTAAAGACCCGGACGGCGGTTGTCTTCCTCGTGGCATTGTTATGTCCTCAAAAGGGCGTGGCGTTGGGGGCACGTGACCAAACTCATCGCCTATTTCTTTCGTAAATTCCCAGCCCTCGTTTTTCAGAGAACTTCGAAGAGGCACTAGATTCCAAATTGTTATTAAAACCTTCAAGAAGAAGAAAAAATTTGTAGATGAATAAACCAAAAAACCTGAGCACTTAAAACTTTTGCTTATAAGGGAAAAGGCGTTTAAGAAAAGAAAAAAAAACAAAAACAAAAAAAGCACACACACACACACACACACAAACAAACAGAATAACGAGTGAAAATAGGTCTGTGAGTCGACCGCGAGAAATAGTATTCCACCGGAATCAATTTTTTCACGGAAACAGCTGGTCTCCGTCAAAAAGTCCTCTTCACACTCTAGGAGTTAAGAAAATCCTTTTGCATCTTTACAGTAGGAAATGGAGGTTGAGGCTTCTTTCTATATCAGTGTCAAGTGAATGGCGGCCCGCTACCTCCCGTTTTTTATTTTGTGTTCCTTTAGCCAAGGATAGTCATATAGTAATCGGTATAATCAAAAGATAATTTTCTCGTCATATTCGTTATTATTAAAGATAAATGGTGATAAACATACCTGGTTAGCTGTTTTGACTATCTTAGGCGAGTATCTGTTCCTAGACTTCGCTATTGCCACAATCTTCTTTAGTCCTCCAACACTGCGCACGTGTCTGAAGAGAAGTAAAAACAGAATTATATCGACTGTTTTTACAATACAGACACTGCACGCTGGCACTCAGGCTCCGCTGTGGTACTGCTATAAAATAGGCCATTTTGAGGTTGCGTCAAACTGCATTATGGGACTGTTTTGGAACACACCATCACATTTTTCATTGGCTATTACGAAGTTGCGCAAGAGCTGGCCCAAAAACAATCCCATAGTGCAAGTCGACCCAGTCAAAATGGCCGGTAGGCCTGGTTGCCGGCGCGTTTCCTTGACTTTGTGCCCTATCTTATTTTGTACAGACGCGGGACAGAATGCGTTATAAAACACCATGGACTGCCTTCAATATAACTTCCGGTTTACACACTTCCTTTAAAATTATGCCCTTTCTGTCGATTGAGACACTCAAAAACTTACTTACAGATCTACATCTTAATGGTATATCCTAAGTAAACCTCAGCTTTCAAAAAGTTCTCTCGTTTGCTTGTAGGCTAAGTACGGCGCCCATTTCAAAGTTTATTGTTTGTAGTACATGTAGCAGTTGTAGTTGTTTTTGGTTTTTTTTTGGCGCGTTTTTCCTCAGCATTATAAAAGCAGGCTATTTGTATATGTTGGTGTCTTACTTTGAATTTGGGATGCTCTTGTTGACCACCTGATGAACAGCACATAGTATTGCGCCGACTGTGTTCTCTTCAACTCTGTCATTGGGTGCTTCAGGATCAGGGAGACGGTGAATAAGATCCTTTGTAGCGTATTTACCTACAGGCACCAAAAGTGGCAACTTGAAAAAAAAACTAAAAACATGTACTGTTTACAAGTGTAAATACTTGGGTTTTTAAGGGGCTGTGTCACGACTGTCTAGTTCATTTTTGTCAATATTGCCAATTACGCTTCCTTATACAGTATGGAACTTGACGTTAACGAAGAAAGTACTTGTAAAAAAAAACCCACACACACTGCACAGCTTCTTGTCCGACAATGAAAGCATCATATCAAACCTTACAAACAACAAAAATGAACCCTTACACATTGTTAAAAACTGTTAGGCTAGCAAGTTTTCAAAAACCCACAATTGCAATCCGTTAAAGGTTAGTTAAAAAAAGCTTAAAGGCATGTTTATAGTGGAAACAACAAAAGGCACTCCACTCAAATGAAACCCTTCAAATACAACATAACAGGTTAAAAAACTGTTAGAAGGCAACCAGTTGGCTATTTACAAGCGTGGCCGAGAATTTGAACTCGGGACGAAAACCCAGCAATTGAGCAATTGCGAGTCCGTTTTTATCTTCTTCAAGTTTGTCCATCGGTACCTCCCTTTGTACTTGCTAGGTTATTTATATCTTCTTTTCATGTTTTGAGGGATTATTTTTTTTGCTTCACTCAATTTGGTGGCAGTTCCTACTGTTAGTTATATTTTAAAATATAATTCGAGACAAAGCTCCGTAGAAGCTTGATTTACGGCTATTTCGAGAAAGGTTGTCGGGAAAAGTGCACGCGACAATCCCGAAAGGTATTGTGGGCGGTTTTGAGTTCACTGTTCTTCAAAGAAATTTGAAAGAATGGCACTAGAGGCCATGGACGTATGTTTGCGAATGCTAAAGGAAAGCAACAATAGAAGATTCGAGAGCTACAGTGTCAGGAACAGCGTGTTGATCATATCCCATATTACCGGGATTGTCGCGTGCACATTTTTTCCGACAAATTTTCTCGAAGTAGCTGTATACGGAATGTTCCATGTTTGACATTCTCCCGCGGACTTTGAAGGCGAAAGTCTCCTGGTGTCAGCCGCTGCTTAAAATATCTGACGGGTAAGGCCTATATCCCTAGGCAGACCGAAGACAGGACAGGGGACCACTTCGTGACATTAGCCTTAATACACGTTGCAGCAGATGCTCATACAAACCTATTAGGTCTTTGTTCCTTGGATCAATTGCAAGATTTCTAAGAGCGGTCGCAACAGCCCTTACTACAGGATCAAAGTTCATCCGTAAAAGTTCCACTAAAATGGGAAGACCTTTCTCTTTCCGCACAGCGGAACGCGCCACCATGGACCACTGCAAAACGAAAACATAAGCAAATCAACGCGTTTAGATTGCATCAGAATATCAGGAAAGCGTGAAACAGTTACAAACGAGTGGGGTAGTCTTGCTATAAGCACTTGCAATGGCAGGCGAGTAAGCTGTCGTGTTTGGGGTTCGCTTTCAAGTTACGAGTTGTCGGGTTTCCCCGCTGGCTTCTTTTTTCATTGCCCTTCGTCCCTTCCCGTCTGTTCGCGGTTACTCGTCAGCTCTCCCCAGCTCCATCCTCCACCAGATATCCTGTTAGTTCGTACACTATTATAATCTCGAGCGGTGCGGGCTGATGCAACATTGTTATTATAAAGAGTAGAACGATCTTGAACTTGAAGCACTGTTCATAATGTCTTCAACCCGAACGTAGCTCTTTAACCTAAGTGTGCCGTTTCTGAGCAAAAGGAGCCTGGTATTTGGCGTGAAACACCCGCTGCATGCCTTTTTCCTTTCTCCCTTTCCACAGATGCAATGGTCCGGAAAGAGGAAGTTACATAGTCTTCAAAACAAGCATTATTTTGGTCGTCACGCAACACACCTATTCCAGGGAAACCCTTACGTTAGGGCGCAAACAGAAGCGAGAAAGAGAGAGTACAAAGACGAAGAGAGGGAAAAACTTCCATCAAGTAAAATTCGTCTTACCCGCCATCCACAAGCCGTTAAATTGTGCACAGCGCCAGTCGAGCCTTCTAACGTCTCAGGATTTGACGATTCTGCCATTATAGATAAATATGACTTGACGATCTCCGGTTGCCATAATAACTCGACTCCTTCGACCGGGTCTCTTCTAATTTGAGGCTGTTCCGATTCTTTGATTGTTCCCTTCTTTTTCTTCTTTGATGCAACTCCGCAGCCTGCCATACAACCCGGATCAGGTTTCTCGGGTTCCTTGCGGCTTGGTTCAATCATGGGAGCGTCCTTATATTTTTCTCTGTCAACTTCGTTTTCCAGACGATATGACAAATTGCGAAGAATACAGACGGAATTCTCTACAGACTGAAACAGCAATAAAGATAAATAACCTTGACTCTCCACTGATAACAGTGATCGAAATTAAATTTTCCCTCATTTCACTTTGTACACTACGAGGAACAAAAATTTCCCATGTGAAAGTACTGCCAAAGAGGTTTAATTTCAATAATCGCACCATAGGTTATTTTAGTTACAATTTTTGACTTTTTTTTCAGGCTTTCTTTTCGCAATTGCAAATGTTGCGTCTATAACTGCCATGATCTTCTTTCATATTATAGATCTTTTTCACCCTCGTAGTCAGCAGCTATGCAAATTTCTTCGAGAAAAAGAAGGTTTTTACATTCGAAAAGAATTCAATCCCCACATGATTTATTCTGTAGACCAACATGGCCGCTGTTTAATTGTTTTGTACACCAATATGGCCGCCGTGACGTTATATGAAGGCGGGCCCTAAATTTTACAATCGAATAAATCGGTAAACTGACAAACGTCACACTTTCTCAAACGTTTTCAAGTTTACCGAAATGCCACCCGTTTGAATCTTCTTCCGTTTTCCCCAACAGAGTTCGTTATTTTTGTTGTTGTTTTTAGAAGCAATTATTTTGATACTGATTTCCAGTCAATTCGGTGAGAAAGTGCTCAAGTGACTGAGCGTCACCTAGCGTATTAGCGTACTAGAGAACAATATTTACTTCCTGTTTCGTTACCTTATTATCAATATCAGTTTTTCCAATAGGCGCCTTAATGATCCACACAAAGGAGTCCACCAGTCCATAACAGTCCCTCATAACTCGTCTTGCCTCAGGCCCTGCTGAGGACACATTTCTAAGAACACCGCTGGCATTACGGAAGACGGTCGACCATTTAATCGACGGGATCGGCGCGTTACTCTGGGCAGCGGTTTTGGTCCAACCAGAATACGGTATAATTATTATAGTTACTAGGACAATCAGACATATTTCGATGATACGAAGCTTTAGATCCTGTTGGAGGAAAGCAAAAAAAAAAAGCTTAATACGCGTGGTGTTAACAGTTTATGCCACGAGAGAAGAGCGCACACTATCAACGTATTAAACAAAGATGGAAATTATTGACTAACTTCACTATCTTTCCCTTGCACAATCATCAGTCATCTTGAGCAATTGACATTTTTTTTTCATTTTAACACAGAATGTAGTTGCCAATCAGTTAAACTCTATTTCAATATTTTTTCCTCGACAATACTGAAAAGATATCTTTGGCGTCTGCAAAGCGTAGGAGGTGCTACAATTACAACTTAGAAAAACTTACTTCACACGATGAAAGGTTCCATAAAACTCCTAACAGTACTTCTTTCACCTGGAACAAATTTAAAAATTCTGTGAACGACCTTTGATCATTAAACGGTGATACTCGTCTAGCATGCATATTTTCTACACTACTCTCCAACCATTTCCAAGCGAACAGAAAAGGTGGATGTGTTTACAATCGCGACCTTTATTTCTTGGTGGTCATTACCTTTAATCTCACGCCCTTTTTGTACCCTTATAAGCAGTGTTGTTATATAGCAGGAAATTTTTCCCAATAACGCACGCTCTCATTGGTTACTTCTTAACCACATGACATCTAACAAGGAAACTGTTTGAAACAATGAAATCTCTGAGCGGGCAACGTTGCAAAATCCATGACGTCAGAGGCTCCGTTCACTGTTACCTTAACCGAAGACCGCCGTTACAATACAGCGAGGTTGAATGAATTTCCAGCTTCAAAATTTGCAGTTATGTAACAAATCACAATTTAGAGCAACTGGATAATTATGTATATATGCAACTGCAGCAAAGTTGTTATCAAGCCATGGAGGTGAAAGAACCAGCTGTCAAGAAGAGCTCTCGTGTTAAAAAACCGGAAAATCAGAAGGCTGAGAAGAGGATGCCAGGAAAACATTACGATATTTAATCTCACAGCGTTTGTTATGTTTAAAAGTTTCCTCACAACGAAATCAGTTGATTTCATACAAGTATTCAAGCGGATGCGTGGAGGATAGATCCCCTCGAATCTTTGGTTTCCTTTGTTTCCCTCGAGACAAGTCGTTAAGTCTTTATTGGGTGACAAGAGTTGAAAAATCCATTTCTTACATGGCACATGGGGGATAAGTAATCTGATGTAAATTATTATCGTAAAAAGGCCTTTTAGTTTCGAGAAAAGTACAAATTAAATAACATTATCCGTGGCCTAACTTTCAACCCTAAATTTGCTAACATCAACTCTCCTTGCGTTCGCAGAAAAAGCCGCAGGGAGAAATTTGGACTGGACAATTTTTCGCACAAATAAACGGCTTTTGGTGGAAACAATCTATATCAGGTTTCTTCTCTACCTAAAAGCTATCCGTGGAAAAGAAATGAAAGAAATCGATTTTTTAACACCTGCCTCGAAATCAAGATTTTGCCGCTCGATTTTTTCCAGACTATCTCTCTTAAATCTCTTAATGAACATCTCTTTTCTCCTCTCAAGAGACAAAATATACATTTGTCTGTCACTAACTTCATTGATGGCACACAAAAAAAGAAGTTAAACTATACACAGGAGGGTCAGTTTAACTGCTTACCTCGTCTTTTCTTGTTCTTTTTAACAATCGAATTAAAGCTTCAATGCCGTAACAATGAGCAATAGCCAGCTGAGGGAGAACAGATACAAATATAGAGTTGTGAGAATAAAAGGCTTAATACGAACCTTTTGAATCTCTTTACGTAACATTGCCCAATTGATAGAACCGGGTAGACGACGAGCATTCACTTTTTTTTCTTAGTCCATCGACCGAAACGCGCGAGACACGAAAATTACCAGGAAGTGACTTAAGGAGCGAGACCTCGCAATCCCCCAACCAAATTTGACGAAAGAGAGAAACTTTCCGCGTCTAAAACCAGGGGGTCGTTTTTTTTAAATCTCGATAACGTGAGAAAACAATTTCACCAATGTTTAGTTTAAAAGCCAAGTAATCAAAGACATGCAGGCGTATATGCATTGCAGTAATGGATTAATTAAATAATTATGGATTTTCTTATATAATGTTGCGCTGTATCCGAAAGTAGAAGGGACTTTCGAAAAGTTTCCCTAAGTTTGAAGTTTTGCTTTCCCAACGACGCAACACTACAGTTTCCTACAAAACGAATCCCCTTCGAATATAGCCGGTCTCGTGTTGAAAATATAAAAAACACGACTACGCCAGTGTCACATGGAGCGTAGAAAACGACCTAGTCTGCCATCGATCTCATACTGGTTAAACTCTGTGTATTTGTGATTTTCACTCCTGCTAAGGGCAACTTGTTAAGTGAGAAAGTTAACAAAGAAAATACGGTACTTTTCTAAACAAAGCCGCTTTTGTAGCTCGAACATTCTATCAACACGGCGTTGAAAAGAGGATAATTACCTTGTTTTCGTCTCTTGATTTACTGTAGGATAAATTTAGTAAACAAGCCGCGGCAGATCGATGAATTTCTTCTAATTCGTGGTCAAGGAGACGTACTAAAACTGGGATGCCACCAAGCTCACTGTTATAAACAAACAACAATAACATAAACAAAGGGCACTTGTTACTACCATAGCCTCCGTAGAAGGCCCATGAAAAATTTAGGGCGCAAACAAGAACAGCCCGCGAGATAAGAGGAGACGCGTGTCATCCTCTTCTAGCGCTCGTATCGTTTAACTCGCGCCCGATAGCGCCTACCCGGCAGGTCGTAACGCTAGTTACCCTGAGATGCTTCCAAAGTAAACTTACAACACAACTGGACTCTGAGGGGTGATGACTGCATAAAACTTTCAACTAAGCGGCGCTTGTAATCGCTTGGCATTGCTGAACTACCACACTTACCGAGTAAAATATCTTCCCTGGGCCGACTAAACTCACGCGCGGGACAACCCTCGGGACTGCAAGAAATCTCTTAGCCAATTACAAGCTGTCAGGCGAACGTTGCGGGCTACAATTTGTCTTTTGTGAATTTTACAATGGAAAATTTTGTTGCCTGACGAACTTACCGTACTTTAACCTTGACTTGCTCATCACTGTACGAGAGATGCTGGAGGTAGTTAGCGGCATTTACGATCAGTGTGGTATCATCAGTCTGTAAGTATTCTATCAAGTCTTGTAAGTCAGGCTCGTGTGCATAAGTCTTCCTCTCTATAAACAATAACAATTTGTTGCAGTTACAAGTGTAAATCCTTTGAGCGTGGACGTTTGATACTGGAGAAAGACATTAGAGCACCAGACTACACAATTCGCTATGTTCTTGTCATCCTGTTTGGGCGTTCACACACAATAAAGCTAACCTGCATACAGATCCCTCTCTGTTTTTCCATCGTCTTCATAATCAGCCAGCCAGCGGTTACAAGGGAAAATCCAGCACTCGTCATGTATGAGGATCACGATCTCCTCGAGGTACCATCCTGTTCCCAGGCCTCTTCCGTCATGACCGATTCGAACCTTCTCCAGCTACATAGGGGAGCAAAAGCGACGCAATATTTAGCAAGACAATTAAAGAGGCAAAACTCCAGAAAGCAGACTAGAATCTAATGGAGTATATCACATTTTTCTTTCAAGTTAATACGACAAAATCGATGGCGTGACCAACAGGACACTCCAACATATTTTGGTCGAGTAAACATCTTAAAATACGATCTGACGACTACAGATGGGAGGCACTTTGAGACTGGAATGAGACACAATATGTAGTTTCCTCCGCTTTCACAGGCTCATGAAAACACGAAGTCGAAGGTTTTTAGTTACTATGGAAGGATGAGAACGGAACCACCAAGAAGGGAGACAAATAAGAATATATTTTTACAAACGGCGTGCCCAACAGTGGCCGGTCGTCTTCAGTTCGTAGTTGCCGTATCTTCAACTCCTAAGTGATAACAAGACGTGCAATTCACTAGAGACAACAATAACTTACATTTCCTACATCCACAGTTTGCAAGATAATCTTGGTATTTGCTCCACGCTGAAACCTGTCTTTGGTGTCACAAATCTGTTTTAATTCAATGACACCAGTGTCGCCTTTATCGCCGAATATTTGAAGATAAATATTTGATTCTGTTCCTGCGTTCTTTACATTTCCTGTCTTCACCCTCACATTGTAATCAGAAACTGCAAAAAAAAGGAAAATGGTGGAGAGATAAATATATGATTCAGCTGGAGTATAGACATCATTCACGTCCTCCCATTTGATATTGCTTTACGTGATTTTACGATTCACTGAAAATGTCTGAAGTGTTTTTATGAGGACAGAGAAGGCAGCCTGTATTTCCATTCCCGTGTAGGACCATTTTAGTGTTCCAAAACAATGAAACGGCGGCCATGTTGGTATTCCAAACAAATTCTGTAGGAGTTGAACCCTTTTCTTATGGAAACGCTTTCTTATGTTCCAATAAATTTGCATAGCCGCTGGCAACGTGACTGAAAACCCTCTATACATAAAACCAGCTAGACTGCAAGGTGTATTGGTTATGTGAAAGGTTGGCTGTTACGGTGCTCAGACCAATTTTCAGATGCAGGAAGGCTGTTTCTTATAGGGCTTTTCATATACATATGTAACGTTGACTGTTTGCAGTCCGCCTTCTCTCTTAAAATCCGTCAAGTTCTCATCTCAGCCAGCGCGATTGCTGACAACGACGTTACAACATGGGTTACGCGTGGAGAAATTTTTCAAAGAAAAATAAGAGTGCTCGCAATCTACACATTTGGTGCACTCGCCAGCTGATTATTTGACTTTGTAAATCAGTAACGTTCTTACCTGGCTGTTTCGGATAAAGTTCTTTGTCTGCAGATCCCGCGCCATGTTCCTCCGCTACCCAAGCATGACACGGAAAGATGAGATGCTCTCCACGGACAGCGCTGTTTAGTATCACTTCCTCAACGTACCAGTCAGCAGCAGGACCACGCCCATCATGGCCGACGCGAAGCTTCTCAATCTGCAAATAAATCCAGTTTAACGAATTGAAAACGCGCGGACGAGGAGTTTAAAATAATAAAACTATTCTTTACAATTTAATGGAGCGACCCCCCAAGATAAGCACGAACTAACTACGGCTCCGTGCAGTTCTGTCAAAAGGAAGAATTAAAGTAAGGAAAATAAATTGTTGTTGCTGATGCAGTTGTTGGACCTAAAATACACCGTTTCTGTATACCCTTTAAAGTTAGATTACTCGTACCCGTAGCCGTGATTAATACGGGGAGGTTGCTTCTTACCTACCTTGCGAGCAGGTTTCTCGTTTGCATGGCTTTTGGCGTTTGGTAAGTCGTTCGCGCCGCTTGTCCGTCGCATAGTTGGTTTGTTTAGGCCCGCGCAGGGTACTTCTTACCCCGAATGCTACAAACACTTCGCCCTAAAGGGGCTTTTTGATGTTTTCCTAGCTTCAAAAGAGGAAAATATAGCTTTTTCTCCCCCATCCCCTCCATAAAATGTTGTGCCGATGTTCGAGCTACCTTTACCTCTGAAGTTATGCTATTTAAGTACAATGTCTCAACAATTTTGTCGCCGACTGTAGCTTACCGTAGAACGATGATACCCTATCACAACTAGGAAATCATGGTTCCCTTTCATATTAACTAAGTAACAAACATTCTTGCCTGTCCGTGTAGACAAAAACGGTGTATCTTGAAGCCCATTTTAACTTTCTCATACCCTGGCCTTCTAAGTCTCCCGACAACAATGGTCGCGTTTCATGTGTGTAAAGACTACCTAGCATTTATATATCAAGTAACTTAATTCTTACGCAATTTCGCAAAAAACGTCTCCCTTGCCTGACGCCGCTCACATAACTTCTCTCTCCTTTATTTCGCCAAATGATAATTAATTTAGTTTTTCGCAGTTGCACAGCACTTATCAAACAAAACAAACTGATATCAAAACTGACCTTTCCAACATCACCAGCTTCTAAAGTGAAATAATCAGTCTGACCACGTTCAAACAAGTTCTCCACCATTCCTGATTTCTTGAGCTGCACATGTCCCGTGTCGCCTTTATCACCGTAGACTTGAACCCAAACGTTTGCATCTGTACCTGCGCTTCTTTCATCTCCTGTCTTGATGGCCAAGTGATAGAGACCTACACCAGGAGCCGATTGCAAAAGATTAAAACTACCAATTCCAACAACCCTACCAAATACAGTTAGTTGTTCCGTACCCTTGGGGAACTCCATTACTTGGCCCAAACGGCTATGTGCCGCTGAACAGGGTATGGTTTTCAGGGCCCTGGATCTTAACCATGGAATACAATTTCACTATTAAGGGTCTTCAACGGGTGTCTTTTTGGACCGAAAGCCTTCAAAAGAGTGTGAAAGTTGGCGATAAGTGGTGTACATGTGTAGTACCGAGAATTTTTTTCCTAAAAAAAACACATTAAATGACAGTAGCCCAAAAAATGGCTGAACAAAATGTATCAGGGTCATGAAATAAGTTTTTAAACAGGATATCGAAATGAGCAGTTTTTGTCGTGAAGAGGGTCAGAGTTTGAAGCCGGCCTCGGCGGCACATCTCTACCTAAACTTGCATTGAGTGCCCCTCCCCACTCCCCCTGCGCGGTTGCCGTACCCTGTTACTGCTACACTTCTCAAAAGGCTTTATATCTGGGTACTGATCGACTAGAAATTGGAAGCTAATCAACCGACACTGAGTACGAAATGACAGAATTACAAGTACCATGCGTGGGGATGATGAGTTACATTCAGGCTTCTTTAGACATGACCTTACGAAACTGAAACAACACTACGAGGAATACAAATGTCATTTGTATGCTTTCGTTTGTAAGCTACAATGGCAAACCGTTCTAAGCCAAAAGTCCCATCACAAAAAGACTTTTTGTTATCAGTGATTGACGTCAGTTCGACAACAGCTGAGGTGACGTTAATGAGAATAGACTATCGTCATTTGATGATATCACACTAGTACTCACAAGGTCTTGAGGTAAAGTCCCGCACAATTCTGCCGTCACCTCTCTCAGAAGCCAACCAACAATGCGAAGGGAACACAGTGTGGTCACCGCGTGACGGTACATCAACCGTTACTTCCTCTAAGTACCAGCCTGAGTTGGTGTGACGACTGTCGTGACTTACGCTTATCTTTTCAATCTGAAATAAACGGAAAACGAGTGGCGTGTCACAATGAACATACAGGAGAACTGGTTGTGGTTTGCACTTTCAGCTGAGGGGATGCTCCTTTCGAGGTTTTCAACTGAGCGTAGCTACAGTTTGTACCTTGGTATTGCACTGCTAAGCTTTGAGTGTGCAAAGCTTTAAGCTGAAAAATCTCGCGCTAATTTTTTTATCCAAAATCAATAGACTCACTCAGGAGATTCCCCATGCTTGGCGTCCGCGTCATCTGTGATTGGCTCATTTGATTGTTTGTACGTGTTGAAATTAGCTGAGTAACTGCTTTGGTTTTTTTTTTCTGACGCTCAATATAAATCAACATGAATCCAAGTGACAGAATGGAATAAAACCGAGAAATTGAATAAGGCTCTACTGAACGGTCCAGCATTTTGATCACAGAGCTACAAAGACACGAGAGGCAAAGTACGCCAGTTATTAAATCTTCATGTACCGCCTATATCTACCGTTCAAATACTAAAATAGGTTTAACAACGCTATGTTTAGGTGGTTTTGAACTATATTCTCGTTGGGTGCCCCTGGAATCGGTCAACTCTCGGTCTTCCGCTGGAGAGCTAGGTCAAAGGCTACATCGATGTTTGCTACACATTCAACGTTCAGTCGATTTGATTTTTATTGAAGTTAATAATCAGCTGTGCCGTTTGTGGGACGCGTGCATATTTTTATCCCCTAAAAATTTTTCATCTGTTTGGATTTCCTAGCTGAAAGTCTAGAGATCCGAAAATTCTAGGAATTAAAACTTAACTTTTCGAAAATTTCAGCCAGAAAAAAGCCTCCCGAAAATTCTAGGTGAGCTTTTTAGGGTAAAAATCCATTAAAAATGGTCAATTATGCCAATTTGTGGATGTTCGAAAATCCTAGGAGAGGTAGGCAAGCAAGAAATTTTACAAAAAATGTTCCGAAAATTCTAGATCTCAAATCGTCTTCCAAACAGATATTTTCCGAAAATTGACGTTGGGTGTCGCTGCGATTCTCCCGAATGAAGAGCCTGCTAGCAAAGCTGCAGGCAAAAAAAAAACACATCACTGTTTTCTATGACAGAATTCTAAACGGCAAACCACATTCTTAACGCAGGAGAACTACACTGTAATCTACAGCAAGAATCAGAGTAACCTTACCTTGCCAATATCGACTGTTTCAACAGTGAACTTGTAGGTTCTTCCTTTCTCGAAGCGTATTTTGGAATTTCCCGCTTGCCTCAGTTGTATTTGTTCAGTCATTCCTTTGTCACCAAAGAGCTGGATGAAAACATTTCCTTCAGTTCCGTCTCCAAGCACGTCTCCCATTTTAAGGCAAAGTTGATATGCGACAACTGCAACGAAATGTTTCGTTTTAGAACAACTGCAAGTCTTCATTATCTTGTGTTTAATAAGTTGCAGTAATGTTCATGTAATTGGTCATCGTAAAATGTACACACAAGAAAAAAACACCAATATCACTCTAAGCAGTGATCTCTTAATTAAACATGGTATTTTGACTCCAAAACACATTGAAAGTAAACTTTCTATCAGAGATGAGAGATCAAGTGATACTGTTCGCTGAAAATTACGTGACCCCACGACTAAAATCAAACCATCTATCGTGGCACGACCTGGGAAATAAGATAAGAACAGTCAGTTGCTTTCAATCCCAGGGTTTTCAGAAAACTAGACTGCGCAGTTCACGCGAATAATCGGGGCTGCTTCACCCTCACATGCTTTTGTTGACTGTTTTGGCTGTCAAGATACGAGAAGAATAGGGACCAGTTAAGTTTAAGACTCGCGGCTCTGCAGAAACCTTTTCACCAGGCCAAAAGGCACCCAAACATTCAACCAAGGCATTACAAGCAACCTACTCTTCCTGGTATCCATAGAATCTGGCGCCGATGCTAACAAATCAGTTCTTTTCTCCTCAAAATGATACTCGTCAGGTGGTGGAAGGACCTCTTCATGGTAATGGTATTCATTCTTTGGAGGTGGTACGGAGTATGGCTGCCTACGAACTTCTTCAATAGTTAGTTCCTCTTGTGTGATTCGCTGTTTAGGCTCCAGAGGCCTTAGGGGTGGCGCCTCTTCAGCAGGAGGGGGAGTCTCTTTCATTACCATTCGCTCTTCAAATATTTTTCTCTGCGGCGGAGCAGGGGCTGGCTCTTTTCGTGAGGTGGTGTATCTAACATTTGAAAAGATGACAAAAACCTTTAATGATTGTTAAAACATGAATACTGAAAATATTATTAAAACTTCTACATTCGCTATTATTAGAATCTTCAAACTCTAAGTTCCCAACAGAATATAACCCTAGAACCAATGTATTTCATCTACTCGCGTTCTGCAATGTCGCACACGAGACTGAATTAAATGTGGCTTAATATGGTTTGGTATCATTTGCAAATAGCAATCATGCACCTTCAAAATGAGACACCATGACTGGTTTCTAGTAGATTTTGCATTGGCTTCTCTTCTAAAAACATTTAACACCCCTACTTAAGAGTACAACAAACATTTTGGCACTACGCTACGAGAAGCTCCCCCCCTTTTTTGCTTAACAGATATCAGGGTATCACAAATGCCCCATGGAATTTGCTCTTAGTAGACTACTTGCACTCTATTTAGACACTGATGGAGAGAGGGAGGGGAGGGTAAAAAGAGTGTACTGTCGGTCTCAGGTTTGTCAGTCTAATGAGTATTGTTACAAGTTACCGAAGTAAAGGAAGGACCCTTGACCTTTTATGTTTTCACCACTCACCTATACTCCTCTTGAATGACAGTCTTCTTTGAAGGAGATGTAGTGTAACGCACTTCCTCAATCACTGATTTCTGAGGAGGTGAAACAGCAGTGTACCTCAATTCCTCTGTTATCACCTTCTTTGTGGGTGTACTGTACCGGCTTTCGTCCATGACAGGTTTCTTAGCAACTGGTGGTGGAACGTTCCGACTCTCTAATTTAGTTGTTGTCTCAGTGGTAGTTGTGGTCGTGGTTTTGGATGGGGATCTTGTGTCAGATGAAACAGGGACACCTACATACAAAGAGGAACAGTGGTAAGTACGCACATGCAGCCCATTCACTCCAAATTTCGATGGTTTAAACTATGATATACCACCAATCAGCCTCGTTTCCAGGCGCGGCCGCCTAGCTGTTTATTTCGGAGTGAACTAAGATGGATGTTATCTAGTTTTTGAGGAGTACCTGAAGAAAAAAACAGCTGTTTATATCCCGAAACCTTGCCGAAAAATAGGTCAAAGTTTTGAAGAAAGTCTACGAGAAGGTAAGCTTGTTGAGAACTTAAAAATATTTTGAATGAATAATAAAACAATTATTTAATTCGGCTTTCGTAGGATGTGAAGAATTATGCAGATCTGCATAATTCTTCACATCATACTCAGCCTCATTCAATAATTGCTAAATATACTTAATACAATCATTGACGTCTCAGGGAGTGACTGACGTTAATGTTGGTATGATCTAAGCGTTTTCCAAATTTGGTCATTGCCAGCTGGTCATAAAGAATAATTCAGCGGATTAAAGCCAAACCAAAAAGGGAGAATATTTTGAATGAATAATTAACACAAACATTCACTCCTTTAAGCCCTAATATCCACACAAAAATTCTCCAAACTGATTTTGATACATTTCCGTAAAGAATTAATTGAGAGAATCTGATAAAATATCAAGGCATTTTCAATTTGGTAATAATTTTTTTAATTCTCATAACCTGGCCTCTTGACAATCTGTGGATATTGTTGGGAGAAAATTGATGTTGGTCACCATTGGGCCTTAAAGGGTTAAGACTCTTTGAATTCTTCGTACTGTTTAACTAAACTTTACAACGCCAATAATGTAATTTCGTTTGTCAGCAACACATACCTGGTAGCAGGTCTCTCTCTATTTTTCCATCATCTTCGTTTCTGGCAAGCCATCGGTGACAAGGGAAGACAAAATGTTGATTGTGTGCTGGTACATCTACAGCAACTTCCTCAAGAAACCATCCTGGGGCAGAGCCATTATTGTCATGTCCGATACGAAGCTTCTGGACCTGTATGGTTAGAAAAGTAAGATGGTGTTACGATGAACCACAGCGAGGTCGGCACCACTGAGCTTTATTCTTCACGTTAACAAGGCATTTATCCTAAGCTAGGGGTGCTTACCACCATCCGGTTTAAAATATCGTGCATTAACGTGAAATTATTAAATTTGACGTGGTGGGAAAACGATCCACCGCTACAAGTATATCGAAATCAGCTGGACAGACTTGAAAGAGTACAAAAATTGCATCGCCTCGAATCACCGCGCATATGTTTGAAGTTTTCTACACGGGAATTTCTGCTTTCCAATGTAATGGGCAAGTACCATAGTTCTTGCGCTGCTTTGGCTCAGAATTTAACAGTAAGCCAGCTTCACTCGGAAGACAAAAGCTACATATAGATTCTGTCTGTTTTGTATTGGTGGTAGGCTAAAATGCAGTTAAAGAATGCTTTTACCACAGATTGGTTATCGATTGGTTATCGACTTAAGGTTGATATAATCATTACCTCGCTAACAGACCGGTAAAATGTAAGGCAAAGCCGAAAGACAAGTGAGAAGCTTCCACCCGACAAACCGTAACAAAATTCTATTTAGAGTCGTTAAAAAGTGCATGATGGATTGTTGGAGTTTTGTGCGGTATCCAGCAGATCGACAGTCAGAATTAAATTCTCCCGCTTATTTCACATTTTACAGGGACAACACTGCCACTTTAGTTCGATCAAGTCTTCAAAATAATTATAACCTCAACAATTTGAGGAGGCATGATCCAGCGTCGGCAGGGGTCCTGGGTTCGAGTCCCCTTGCTGGATTTGTTCTCGGACGTTACGAGTTCACACTTGTAAATAGTCAACAAATTAAATTCAATTTGCATTATTTGTCAAATAATTGTTTCAACTCTTTTGGAAAAGTAAGTCCGAATTCTGCTTTAAACAACCCTATTTTTTCATTTTGTCACTCAGCGGAGGATCATTTTTCCGTAGAAATAAACTAGTTAAGTCCAAAATATGCAGTTTTAGTAACGATTAACTTGTCAATCTAAGCCAAAGATGAAAACCTCAAAAACTGATAATGAGACAAACGTACCGTGCCAACATCAACAGTTTCCACAATAAATTTATCAAGTCTCCCTTTCTCGAATCTTTTTTCAGCTTTACCGCCCTGCCTCAGTTGAATCTTCTCTGTTTCCCCTTCACTCCCAATCAGCTGGAAATATACATTAGCATCTGTGCCAGCTGTAAACATCTCACCCGTCTTCACTGCTAAATGATAAGAAGTATCTGCATACAAAAAATATATAATAAAACGTTTAATGTAATGACTCTTGAAAACTTTGGTGTGAAAGTATGTCTTTCAGAAGTCGAAACAAAGCATTAGTGCGTGCTGTGGAGTGTTGTATTAAGGTTTAAGCCAGTTAGGCATCAGGATTTAGTATATGTACGCGTGCGTAGTTTTTAATTTTTTTGGTTTCAGAACTGCTGGCTTAAGAGTTAAAGTGGAAGCCGCACCCATTTTTCATTTCCTATACTAGTACATTGTTAAACCCCTTATGTCTCGCACCCAGTTGTTTTCTATGACAAGGACCTTCACTTCGCAAAAACCCTATTTCCTTCCACTATGTATGAATGGTTCATTTAAATAAAATGCCAGGGTAACCCAAAGCTGTATATTTTTGCCTTGTTCATGAATAAATGTTTTATTGCCGGCGGAGCTTGCAGAAGAGGCAAGAAATTAAGTTCTCTCACAAAGAACGAAACCTAAACACACAGAGGAACCAACTGTGGAAGAATGTCAATCAGATCAGAAGAGTCTTAATCAACCATACTTGCTTCGACTACTACTTCAAGACTTACTGATACCCCACAAGGAAGGGAACAGTTAAAGAAATGTGTCACGAAATTGCTTTTCAAAGTAACTGTTCATTTCGTTGTTTGGTTTGTAACATACTGATTAGGAGGCATATTAATATTTTGCTGAACAAGAAGATCTAATTCTGCCATTTTCATGCGATGTCTGCGCTTATAGGAAGGTCCCTTGCGAAACACCTGTTGACAAATATACACAATATTGACAAAACGAACTAGCCAGGTGTGGCACAGCCTTCTCACACCCATTAATAATTCATTAAGAAAATACAAAGGAAATTAATGTTTAATGGGCGTGGCGGTCTTGGTTGTCCTGGGAGAATCTCCTTCAAAAATGATTTTGTTTGAGAAGAATTTACTGTCTCCTCATCACCAGATCAACCAGCCAGCAGTAGCAAGGGAAAATGGTGCGATCTTTTCAACTCTCTTCTCGCAGGATCTGGTGATGAAACACTCCTCTACAAATGATATATTACCTTCCCATCACCCTTGCACTAACTTGGGCGGCCAATCTTGCAGTCTGTCAATCTAGAACATGACAACAAAACATCGCCATTACTATTAGTTGAATAAATGGGATACGAAAAGTACTGAAACGAATAATCAGCTATGTTAATTTTGTCACACTGTCAATCTAAAACATAACAACAAAACACCGCTATTAGAGATGATCGAATAAAATGGGACTAAGTATTTAAAAGAGTCAAACCATGATATTCATGTTTTTTAAAAAGTATTTTGAAAACGCAGAATTTTGTTTTTTCATCTTTAAATGCCTGTTAAAGCGGTGACAAGGATCAAAATGAAATTTGACAAAAACTGCATGACTGAGAGACTTAAAATTCCTGGCTGACTGTATGATTGACTGAAGTGGATAGTTTGAAAAGAAACTGTGGTGTGCATCAATCATTTTGCTCTTAAAAAGGGCTAGCGCTTGAAATGTCCGCCTTTTGAATCTTTTAACAATGGCAAATCAACTTGACCAACTCAGTTAATAAAACTAAATTTTTGCAACCTACAGATCAACTGCTTTGTAACTAACATGCTGACCTAATTGCTGACTGATTGGTCAGTGCCCAACTTACTCTTTCTGACTGTTCTAACTGGCTGATAGACTGACAGACCAACTGACTGACAACTGACTGACTGCAACCGGTAACTGTCTTTTTAATTGACTGACCGACCAACTTACAGTGCGCCTGCCTAATAGTGTGTGTGACTGACTGTTCAACTGATTGACTGGTACATTACAATGAAGCTGGAGGGCTGAGCTGGTGTTTTCAGTACTCACCTTTCCAATATTTACAGTCTCAACAGTAAACTTGTAAGTTCTGCCTTTCTCAAATTTATTAAGTGATGACCCCACAGGTCGCAGCATGATTTTGCTCGTCTCTCCTTCTTCTCCAAACAACTGAACATAAAGATTAGTGTCTGGGCTCAGAACCTCGCCTAGTTTGACTGACATTGTGTAGGAGGTGTCTGAAATGAAACAATTAACATTTAATAAAAAACAAAAACTAGACAGTACTGTTAACAAAGAAATAAATAATAAATTACAATGTACATACTTTAGAAACTACAACCAGTTGCAAAAGTACAATGCACTTGAGACAATGTACCATATTTTGGCTTAAATGGCCTGTTCATGATCTTGTGCTTGCGATCCCCCCTCCACCCGTTATCAAAGTTGCTAGCAATACAAGACCATGCTCAAGACTTGGAGGAACAACTTTGAATGGGAGGGAGGAGGGAGGTCAGTATTATACTAAAAGACCTGTGACTAGCAGCGATTTGAAGCAAGACAGGTCATTTTCTCGTCGGAACGTGTCAACATTTTTGCAACTGGTTGTAGCACCACGATTGATAAGTGCATTCCAGGACTTGTTTTGTTTCATGCTAATGATATACAGTGTTGTAGTAGCTACGCCAAAACCCTTAATCACACGCATCAAACTATCCTGCTTGTCTATGGGTGGATACTCTATTCTGACTGAACTGTTTGCAAAAAAATATGCTTTTTATCTAATGGAACTACTTATGGGAGTTTGAAGACAAAAGGAAGGTCATGTGCATGTACAGTTTATGCATCAATTGTCTATAATGGGAATGCATAAATACAGAGTTTTCGTTAAAGTTTAAATAGTGGCTCTCTTATTTGACACAGAGAACTTTAACAGTGTTGGGATTTACTAGCTAAATGTACATGTAGAAAGGCATAAATAAGATTTGCAGTTATTTGCCTCAACATGATAAACTATGATACATGTAACACATTAAATTCATTCTCTAACAAGGGCTTCCATTTTTTTTTCATTTATTATGAGCTTACTTGGTAAAGGAGTGACTGCAAACATCTCCCTCTCGATTTTACCATCATCAACATCTTGCGCAAGCCAGCAACGGCAAGGAAACTTGACTCGATCTTGGCGTGCAGGAACCTCCACTTCAACTTCCTCCACAAAAAACCCAGAGCCATAACCGGTGTGATCATGACTCAGCTTGATTCTGTCAACCTGAAAATTCGAAAGAAAAATTGAATGATGCAGCAGAATCTCATTAACCCCCTCAAGGGATCTGTTTGTGTGACTGAGAGTCTTGCAAATGTATATTTGGGTCAAAGGGACATGACACAGCAATAGGGGTGTAACGATTCATATTCCTTGTGATTCAATTCGATTTCAATTATTGTCTTTTGATTTCGATTCGATTATGTAAATTTTTCTGAATTGTTATACCATAACGTGTAACATTAACAACATGCAACCCTAAACCCTCAATTTGAGAATAGTAACAGGGACAGGAGGATTCACAGTTGCTTGGTTCGTTGCCATGTTTGAGAACCACACAAAGATGGTTTACCTTACTTGGAAATTCTCAAGGGGTGGTTGAAGGACAGCATTTTACTAGGCAACACAACATGACGCACGAACTGCTATCGTCTTTGCTTGTCAATCAAAAACTCACATTTTAAAGAGTTCTGGATTCTGATTTTACAATATAATAACTCACTGAGGGCACCCTGGAAAAGGTATGCAAAAATCAAAGCAAAATCGAAACGTGGAAGCAAAGAATCGTGAATCGAACAGAACGGTTCATAATCGAGATTAATCGAGAATTTGATTAATCATTACACCACTACACAGCAACAACAACATACATACTTTGTTTACAGGCAGCTATTACAACAACTGAAAAGATAAATACAACAACAGGCTGGATATATCGTACACATAACCTAAAACATAAAATTTTATTACAGAAAGGTATATTACTTTGATATATTTTTCCCATTATCAAGACACAAAAATAATATAAATTATTTGACTGTAAATAAAAAATATATCAATGTAACGGTAGCTTTAAATAAAATTACACACTATCACCTAGAATGTTAGCAGCAAAATACAAAATAATAAACATTTAGTTCATCATATTTGTATTTAAGTGATAAAATAAGAAACAAATAAGTGTACCTTGCCAATGTCAACAGTGTCCACAGTAAATTTGTACGTCCTTCCTTTCTCAAACTTATTTCTGGTGTCACCTGCCTGCCTGAGCTGAATCTTTGCTGTGTTACCACGCTCACCAAAAAGCTGGATGTAAACATTGCCATCTGTCCCTGAACCTTTAACATCGCCCACCTTTATACTGAGATTATAAGTAGCTGAAAAAATAACAATAAAAAAATGATACGTTCAAAGCTGATTAAATGCAAATGTAACGACCAAGTTAATATATTTGAAATAATTTTTCATTTTTGTTATTATCTTTATGCTTTAGTGCCTCTTTGAAAATTATTTCATTGCTGTGCCTAAATATTTTGCCCTTTTACTACAGTTATATACATTTACTTTGTATAATATCGACACTTAAATCTACTAATAGATTTTAAAACTAACAGGACAAATTTACTGAACTGCATAAATCTTAAAGTTCAGATTTACATATGTAAAATCAAAAAAATAGTTTAGTCCACTCAGAAAGCATGTTATTGCCACACCCGAAACCGTTTGCTACAATAGTGCACTACAAGTATACATCATATCATATCATCAGTTACAAAAAAAAATGTGATGATGTACACTTTGTACATTTAAAAGGAACAAGAGGTTGATATTCCACTTCCAAGCTTTGATCATTTAGATTCACATCACAGTACATTTCACTCAGTCTGTAGATACAAATGCTTGGTATTGCTATGATGTGACAAAGTAATGAAAATGAAAGGCTTGTGATATATACATCACTTGTTTGAATGACATTTGCCCCAACCATAGTAATAACAATAAAAATACTATGCAGTGTATACCCTACAGTAAATGTAACTCAATAATTAAGTGGAGACCTTAAAGGAACACCTAAAATACATACAACATACTTTAAGTTATATGCAGGAAACTTTTAAGGTCACACTCAGTCACATGGAGTAAAAATGAGAATTTCCTTCTCTTCTCGACAGCACCTGTCTTGTGTTAGTTCACAATTGAATTAACAGTTCCAAATTTCTACAGATGAAATTTGACAAATTTCTACACCTACATACAAGGCAGCATATTTCAACTTTCACAGCCACAAGACAACAGTGTGTGTAATAAAATTAACATCACAAGAATAAATGTAAAAAATGGTAATAATGTCAGTGGTATTTTGATTATAGTACAAACAAAGGCAAGCAAAAATTTAGTTGCAATTTAGCATTTTATAATTTTTTTTTTAAGTTTGATGGGAAAGCTTTTAAGTTGCTGTTTTAAGATTGCCCTTCAGTGAAACAAAATGAAATATAAACACTCGAGAGATCAGAAGATTAACATCAGAATATAAAACCAAGTATAGACCAACAGGTCGGTTGTCACATGTCTGTGTAATCCTATAAAAATTATGACTGAAAAGCACCCTGATACACCAACTGTATCTTTTACCAAAGGAACATCATAAAACATTGAAATATTAAATACCTTTTGGTTTTTCATCTGGTAAAACCAAAGGAAAAAATCTCATAAACAAAGATTGGGCATTCCACATGTCCATCTTGTACAAATTCAAATTCCAACACAATTTCCTTTTTATCATTAATTATTCAAAGAAAGTCATAGACAAGATCAAAAACTAAATACCTTTCATTTTCCTTTACACCTGGTTTGACAAAGAACTGACAATTATGGTAAGAAATGAAAGCAATACTTACATCCCACATGGGAAACATTTCTTTTATTAATCAATTTATTTGAGCATATTAGGGCTTTAACCTTTTAATTTTTGATTGTAGCATATTCAACCACAGGCCTTTCATGAAATAAGCATGTCAATGGTGGTTACAAAAAACCAGACACTGTTGGACACAGGTTTTTAGTGTATACTGATAAATAATCAAAAACCAAAGACACTTTCAGATGAAATTACCCACAATGAATTTACATGCACTCCATGAAATATGGTTATTTTATTTAAATTAATTATTGTGATTGCATAATTATTCAAAATTCAGTCTTGGCACTTTTAAATATCCTGAGGCAAAATCAGTAAAATCAATTTAAAGATTTAGCTCGCATAAATTGGATTTGTTTCAAGAACACTTATATAAAAAAATGTGATGGGAAAAAGTGAAAAAAGGTACAGGTAAGTCCTGACCTTAAATGGAAAAAAAAAAAGCAAAACAGTAATTTAATTTATTTGCACATTGTTGGGGTCAATTAAGCCTCACTGTCAAGTTTTTGATTTAAATGATGTGGCTTCCATTAGAATCACAAGAACTTGACCATAATTCAGCAGAAACAAAGAAAAAACAGATTCACCTGCAAACTGTAAAGTTAAAACTATATATACCTCTCCACAAGCAAATCTAAAAGAAAGTGTTCATGAGTCATGACAATTAAGATTCTCAACAAAAACGAGATTGATGTTTAAGTGAGCTGTATGTAGTAACGTTGGAACTTACTGCTTTGCCGCCCAGATGCGCTAGATGATCGTGGAATGGTGGATGATGATGATGGTGTTCCCCCAGATAAGGATGTGCGAGGTAAAGATTGGCTTGTGTTGCGATAAGCTTTAGTACTAACAGAACTAGACTGAGATGAATGGCGTGAACCTGAAAAGAACCATTCATATACAGTACTTACGTAGGAAATAAAAATCCATTACATTTGGGATAAAAAAATTATTAATATATACTTTATGGCAACAGATTCTGGTTGCACTGCATGTTAACTTGCATTCTATTTCACTAGTACAGCTGCAGTGGACACTATCATACCGTTACATAAATGATCAGTAATTTTTTTCAACACATAGGAATTGCAAAATCATATGATTATATACGATTTGTGGTTTCAGGGTAAAAGATGACTTATCTGTTGTAACTGTTTTTCGTTTACATCCCCCGTTAGTTCTGACTAGATATCATACTGTAGGAAAGCCACACTTTAAAAGTTGGAACATTGTAATAAGGGTGTCACAATAGCATGAAATTGAAAGTGTAAGACTTTGTTACCTGTGGGTGTATGATATCCATCTGACAAGTGTCCAGATGAAACATTAGTTGGTGTCTGTCTACCATCAGAACCTGGACCACTTTGACTACCAGGACTGTATGGTCGTTTGTAATCTTCAACAGAAGATTGAGATCCTGGGCCGTGTCGTCCTGATCGATACTCATCTCCAGGAATATATTGTTTTGTTACAGTTCTTGGAGCATTTCCATTGACAGCTCTGTTGTCAAATGTGTACCGTTCGATTGTTGTTTGAGCACTACCAGGGTCATATGTATCTTGCACAACTTTACCATCTACTGTCCTTAATGTGCGGACTTCTGTTCTTGTTACAACCTTCTTTACTGTTTGCCCAGGTGTCAGGTCTGTTACAAAGAAAAATGTTGTTTACTCCTCAAGTAGACATGTCAATAATGCTGTAAAAACCACACTATACATGTACTTTAAGATAAGAATTAATAATTATAAACTTTTCCTGAGGATCAAATTTAACTGAGTGAAATATAAGATAAATGTACAATGTACATGTACATGTATATATCAATAAATAGCAATATTTATCAATAATAACATAAAAGGCTGAAAACTGAGAGATTAACCTACTAAATCTGTTAAATACAAACACCAATGAAAAACCAGGTGAGCTTTTGAAAATAACATATTAAATTCACATGTGAAAAGATTGCTGTTGCTATGGCCACAAACATGTAATATAAATGGCACCTTTCACAGCATAAAAAGGTATTAATTTGTTAAAGTTAAGTGGTTTAGTACTTATTTGGTGTCTATATAATAACTGGAACATAACATGGATGCTTGGAGATTAGAAATTTCTCATAAATTCTCTTGTAAAATATTATTTTTTTAACACTCGAAGAGAAATTTTGTATCTCCACACATGCAGCCATGTAACATCCTCATGTATATATTGAATTTGCGTCATGCAGCAGCACCTGCTTCCATTAGATCTTTTTCCCAGTTTTGATTCATGAGTGCATTGGAGCGGATTCCAGATAGTGCACTTTTGCCGTTAACTAAACTCCTGTCATAGAATGGTTCTTGATCATCCCTATAACATAAAAAATGAAACATAAAGAGCTTCATATAACATAGAAATACGTGACAGCAAACATGTTTATAGCTCAACATTAATAATACAGATTTCTATGTATCTTGTGAAAATGCCCTCAGATTTAAAAGCATGTTGTCGTCCAAAAACAGTGGCGGTTTCTTCAAGCCATTTCCACCAGAAAGTAAGGCTATAATAGACTGTACATGTATTCTGTCACTTTAAGATGTAAAATTGCTACAGTGTAGGTATATGCAATGACCCAGAATTGCCAATAGAAAGGTGAGAACATTGTCACGAGAAACTTCATCGCCGGGTCAAACTTGTTACAAAAATTAATGTAGTTGGTGGTGAATCTATGTCACGGCTTAAGTTTTATTGTAAGTTAGTAAGTACACAAAATATTTAAAAAAATTGACTGTTTTTCGAAGCCATCAGTTTCTATTACTAATCTGGTTTCATGAACTGATCGTAAAGTAACCTTTTGCTATTTATTATTGGTAGTTCAATGGTCAAGTCAAAACAAAAGAGCATAACTGACAACTCTAAAAATGATAAAAACTAAGATAATTCCTGTAAAGCAATCTAAATTAAAGTTAGAGTACATGTATGCTAATACATGTAAGTTTTCTATCCTGGAATTTTTTGCTCTGTTTACTTTAAATAGAAAGAAACTGTAAAGCATTTAATTTGGCAGTACAGAGTGGTTGCATTAGTTCATTTGTAAATTAACCACTGATCTTCACAAGCATGTACCGTAGTATAGAAATTGACCTCTAAATTGGTGTTCTTTAAAGACGATGGTGAAATAGTGAACTGGTACCAGACACTTTTGCTCATCATTATTAATTAATACATAATATCTTTAGCAGGGGCGTAGCCAGGATTTTTCAAAGGGGGGGTCACAGAGGCTACTCACCAGATTGTCATGTCGTATTATCGCGGCATGAAGGCCCATATTAACTAAAGACAGGAGCCGTTGACGAAAATACTTTACAAAAAAAAAATTTTTAAAAAGTGGGCTTCTCAAAAATGGCTTTTACGGCCAAGATATTGTCATGGCGTTTTCGTTTGCTCAAAAGAAGGCCTACCAAGGGGGGGTCACGGGCACCCCAGGACCCCCCCTAGCTACGCCCCTGTTTAGTCCTCTCAAATGGAGTAAACGTACAAAATTAACAATTTTGCTCAACATTTTAAGGATAGCCATGATGAGAATTGCATGACATACCTTGAGTCAGACAAACCTCTTTCTTGAAGGACTTTCCTGAAAGTAAAAAACAAATAATCAGCCAAGAATCACATGCACATGCTATGCATAATTATAAGATCAATGGATGTCTCCGTGGCCCAAATTATAACTTAACACAGATAATTTATTGTCTATGTTCAACAAAAATTCCTTAATTAGTAAAATTAAAACATTGTGTATAGTGTAAGTGCTGCATGCAAGAAAATAACAGCAACAGAAAACTTAAACTAGTGATTGAACATAACTGAGGAAAAAAAATTCTTGGATTTGAATGCTTAACAGTGTATAATTTTAAGCTTTAAGGTATACTTTCAAACAGACATTGATTGATTGATTTAATTTTCTCAATTGTCACTAATTTATTGTCTTTATTTATAAGTGACTTGTAGTATATTATTATGAAGGAACAACCACAATCACAAGTTATAAAAATTCTTATAAAAAATATTTAAGTAAACTGATGCAAAGTTCTACATACAGAGCAAACACTGCATACAATATATTAACCACCTCTAAAAAGCAAACATCTCATAGAAGACATTGATTGATTGATTGATTTTCTCCATAATTTATTACTAATTTATTGTCTTATATAAGTGACTTGCAACATATTAGGGATCAGCCACATTCATAAGTTAGTTATAAAAATTCTTATAAAAATATTAAAGTGAACTGATGCAAAGTTCTACATATGGAACAAATACTGCATGGAATACATGTACATTAAACACCTCCAAAAAAAAACCTCTTATAAAAAAAATACAAAATACAGTCAACTCCAGCCAGGGCAGGAGTTTATTTCAACCACACATCTATAATAATTTTTTTTCTGCCGGGAATTAATAATAGTTGATAGTCTGCAACACAAGAGATTCATAACTGTAATTTTATAGACCAACAATATATTACAATCTCTATCTCCCAAGAGCTAAAAAAAAATTTACAATTTTTCAACCTTTTGAGGAATAAAGCTCATTGTTCACAACAATTAACATGATTATGCAAGGACCATATAATTTCTATAAGTTTACTTGCAAAAAGAGTGTTCATTTATATAAACATCATTAATAAATCCCAATACGGGTCATATATGTAAGTACCTGCAACAAAATACCTTGGCTGAAACATTACTTACATGTAATTTGTATAATGTTCATAGAATAAACCAAACATACAATAAAATCACAAGGACGAATACTTAACTTTTGCATATGATGTGACAATACTGTGTAACTTTCATTAGCTCATCTTTTTCTTACACACACATTTCAACTTGTAATTAAATCATTTCTAGCTTAGTAATTTAGTATTGTACACCAAAAACATGCACATACGGCCTTGCCCTAGCTACCCAGATGATATACGAAAGGAGCAAATCAAACAGTACAGAGATAAATGAGCAAAGGCAGTTACAGGAAGACTGCAAATCTTTAAATTTCATGTGAAACATGTTCTTATAGCATAGCCCTACATGTAAATTAATGTCGAGTAAGTTGAGATAATTCTGTAATCAAAACTCTCTAAATGCGAGCCAGTGCAATCCACCGACAGTCCCAATCGGAGAGATACCCCTTTAACAGTAGGCTAATCATATTATACAATGTACAAGTACCATGCTGTAATTGTGCAACTCAGCCTCTTCCCACCAAACCCATGAGACAAACACACAGACCACAGCAACAAGGTCTACACTGTACATCACAATAATGCCAATTTCTTTTTGAAAAGGGGTGTGTCTTTTGACATCTCATTTGAAGGAAGCGAAAGGAAACAAGACCAATATTGCTTCATGCCACTATAACAGTGATGCAATCATCTTTAGACCTTTTGGCTGAGACAAGCTTGATAACCTTACCAAGACCCTTCTTAACTACTTGCATTGTCTCAGCCAAGGTTTGAAACTGCATCTTTTCACCCATAACCAGCACTCTACTACAGGTGGATTGTGATCCAGACAGTTTCCGCCATTTTTATGGACAACAGACAGATTTTCTCCAATACATGTACAAGGACAATGACACTCAATTCAGGAGTTACATGTACATGTACAATATCAAATTAATATTTTCACTGGGATTCACAAAGCACACTTCCTCTGAAAACTCATGCAATCAGTGGTAGCAATATTTTAACAGGTAGACATTTTTTCTAGATTTGCCTGTTTCCATACTTGACCTGAATAAACCAGCTGGTAATTTGAGGCACTTTAGACAACTAATTAATTTTAAGGGCATTTTTCTGGATTGGCATAGTTTTGGACATAATGTTTTGGACAGAATTTCCCCAACTGGCAAAAAAGTTAGTATGAAAAATCATCTCACCATAACTTGTAAATCCAATCATTCCAATCATTGATATTATTGTAAATACATTGTAAATACAAAGTACCCTTGTAGTTTTCATTAGTCTGTAACTTAGATTTTTTCCTAGGTTTCTTGCTGTTGATTCTCATCTACGTGATTTTCCAATTTATGATGATAAAGTTGGTTTTGTATTTGCCTTGCAGGAGCAAACTTTTTATTAAAATAACAAACATTTTCTCAAGTCCTTTAGTGCAAAGGACAGTGCTCTGTGCTTTTCAGTGCTCAAAATGAATTTCCAACTCACAAGCAGGAATCAACAAGGGCAGATCCACTAAGCTGACTCTCATTATCTGAAAGATCTTGATCATCACCAATACTTCCTGGACCTTGATTTCCACGCCAAACAAAAGACTCATCTGTTGAGCTGATAACCAAAAAACAAAATGAACATCAATAGAAGGATGATAAAAAATAAAATAATAATAATAATAAATGATATTTTCAGAGGAGGCCTCCAAGCACCGAAAGGGGGTTTTCACGAGGGTCCTCTAAAATAAAGTGCAAAATAATATACATTAAAATAATACTAAAAATGTGGCTAAAAACAAAGACTACAGTTTGTGTTAAACTAAGATAAAAATACTAAATTAATACGGTTCAAAATGGTCAAGTGAAAACTGTTTCACTTTTGGCATCAGTCTCTTGAGCTTACTCGGCAGTGAGGCCCAATTGTTTATTGCTTTATAATTTACAACAGACACCACAATATTAGAAAATCAGAACACTTAGGCCAGCATTGAACCATAATAAAAAAAACCACATTATAGGAATTTTTCTGTCAATTTAAAAGAAGGACATTGCACCTCTAACAACAGATGTGAAAAATAAAGAAAGATTTGTGAATTTAAGCTTGGTAAAATATATGAACGTCAAAGGTGTGATAATAAGCATGTCACAAGTCTAGGACTTGTGAAGTTGTGACCAAACTGGGACATAAAAGACTATCAAATTCAGACATTTGACAACAGACCCACACCCCCCTCCCCTGTCAGGACCTCTGAGCGGTCCACAAATGCACAACATCAAATTGCAAAACACTCCAAATTTTTTTCGGTGTATGCATAGGATAGCAATGGCCAAATGATGTCAAAAATGCTAAAATGAAAAACAGATAAATAAAATAAGTATCATTTTTGGGGTAAAAGGAGCGCCAATCAGATGTATCTATAATGTAGCCAAAAATAGTAAAAACTGAGGATAATGTTTGATTTGCTGGGAAGCCATACCAACATAACCTTATGATTTTCGAGAGGTTATTAATTGTTTTAACAGCTAAATTCCGTTCTCAGGTTAAACAACTATTTACCCTTAGTTACCAGGGTCAGAGCACAAGAAAAAAGCTAACCCAAATAGGTTAAATACTGACAATAGAATTAAAGCTGAAACATACAAAAGAATAACCCAATGATCAGAGTAACATGAAAATAACACCAAAACTCAAGGGGTACACATTTAACTTCTGAGCCACCCTTGACTGTAGAAAATAGCCAAGTAATTTACCTCTTACCACTCCGGAATATAAACCTCATTATGGTCAATTTGAATTTTTTGTTTCAGTCATTTGCCAAGCCAGTCTAGCCTTTGTGCTATAAATAGGGTTATCATAGAATGATTATAATAACTATTTATGGTTCCTTGATTTCACTAATTGAATAGTGTTTCTCTGCCTACAATAAACTGTATACCCTTTGAAAATCAATTTTGAGCACTTTTGGGTTTCCTTTACAGTTAGAACCATCAGGTCTCTATCATGATAACAACACATTACCTATGTGTATCCAGATGAAAACATACAAGTTGCAAAGCAACCACGACAGATAATTGAAGAATGAGGGAAAGTCATGCCTCCTGTTGGAGTCAAGCCAGAGTATAAACACACTGCTAAATTGTCTCTATAGGAGCTACTTTTTCTTTTTAAAAATTTGCATTTCAAGGACCTAATTTATCACAATTTCTCTTAAATTTCCTCACTAGTCCTTCCTTTATTATCAAGGAAAATTATTCAAAGAAAAGTAAATAATATTCACGCAAAGTTACATTTGTAAGTGTTTCATGAAAAGACTGCTTCACCGTGATTCTTTTTGGACATCTGAAAAAACATTTGACCGCCATTAAGCTGTCAACAATTTGACACCTCGGGAAAATATTTCACACTTACAAACATTTCAACAGTAGTCTTCCAGGCATGAACCTCATCAAAAGATAAATTTTCCCTAACATGGTGCTTTGCTTTGATCACGAAATTGGTTCGAACGAGGCAAACGAGGCGAACGAGGCAAAATGGAGAATTAGAACTTAGGTGATAGCTACCCTTCCGGAACAATACCCAAGACTGACATTAGAGAGGAATGCATTGTTCAGAAACTTTAAAACGCCAGCAAATATAACTTTCACTCTCAATACAGAATTTTAACCTCAAGACTTTTTTCGCCGAGTTACTAGCTAGTTTGTACAACTTTAAATGACTGTAACGCAGAGGCAAGGGGTAAATTCTTGAATAAAATTCTCTTCACAAAAACACAATCCATGCACCGATTGCCTTTCAGGAAATGAAAACGCCAAATACAAAGACTCGAAAACTTGATTTATGATACCTGATAGCTAGCCGTGGATAAAAAAAAGCACTTGCCGACGTTGATTGTAATCAAAATAAGCTTACTTTTAGCAAAGTCTCTCTGATGAAGTTTGTTACAAAGCACGACTAGTTGAAAGGTTTGAAGAGATAATCCGACATATTATAATTAAAATGGTCCGCGCCAAGGTATAATCACCCTTTATAAATATCCATTTGTAACACAAGCAAGAAATCGGTTCCTACAAAATGACTTTCGATCGAACGTTCCTAAACTTAAAATTATGCGTACATGTCAGTGACGAGATTCAACCATAAGAAAGAAACATCCAGACATTTTTACTTATTTATTAAGCAAGTACCATATAAATATCAAATTAATGGAAATGATCTTGATGGAATCGTAACAAACTCACTTCCATGAATTTAATGGTTTGTGAAAAACTGAAAACACTTAATTCTCAAGCTGGGATCGTAAAATTCAAATAAAAAAATATTCAAGCTTATCTTGACTATATCTTCAGTATACAAACACGACAATGAGTTTCTTACCTTCCCATCGAGCTAACACTTGCTGTTTCCGAGCCATATTTGCACTGCAAGTGAAAATATTGAGAGGTTTATAATCGTACATGTTGTATAACATCTTTTTACGCCGTGCAAAATTGAGGTTTGACCTACTACGCGGCCCATGACCGGCGCGGAACAAAATTAGCGTACCCAGGCAGGAATTCAAAATAGGAATCAAAACTCGAACTCCTTGGCTTACCTTTTCTAACTGCTGTGCAACATTTCTTCTCTCTTGTTCTAATTCTCGGGAAAGCATTTCAAATTGAGCTTCCTGTCAAAGACGGCAAAAAGTACGTTTAAAGAGTATATCACAAACCACAGAGTTTTATAGGGCGGAAAAGAAGTTGAAATTCGAAGCTTTCAAGTTTGCAAGGCCAAGCTATGTGCAAGAAGCTACCGGAACACAAGCCATTTGACCTCAAGATTACCAGCAGCATTAACGGCATGCAGAGACTCAAAGATAATAATCAAGTATAAGGGGTTCGATGATGTTAATCACATTAAATCTACGGAGAACCACAAAAATATACAGCAACTGTACATGCTTACCTGTTGCCTGACAGAGCGAAGGAGGTTCGCTGCGGAGTCTTCGTTATACAAATCGCGTCGACGATAAGACATCGTGATACGAGATTACTCTGCTAAAATCGGACTATAAAGTGGGAAAGCTGAAGCCCGGTTTCCAAACGCAGTGCTTAGAACCAACTTAATTTCAAAAATGTAACTGAGGAATCGGATTAATAGTATCGAAAAACTCGACGATTACTCTCCGTCCATCAAGATATTGGACGCGACGACAAACAATTGTCTGTCCCACCCTCCCTCAGGCAATACGGGTTTGAAACATGTCAGTCAAATTCTAGTTGCCATGACAATATTTGCCGCGTCGTGACCACATGCGGGAAATACGTTCATTCAAAACAAAGGAAAAGAATTTCATCCAAAAGAGTCTTTGTAGCACAAAGTTTTACTAACGTAAGGACATTCGTCTCCCTACATGTTGTTTAGGCCCACATTCACTTTTACTTTACTTTTTATGGGAAAACTACTCATGATTTGAAAAAAACATTTTCTTCTGCTCAAATTTAATCAAAGAGGACATATTTGAAGAGTAGACTTTTAAAATCTGTTTACTGAAGAAATAATGATAGCCAATAAAAAATGGAGGGACTTATCATCGCTTTATTCAAAAATAAATTGCAAAGGACAAAAGAAATTTAGGTTTGTTTGTTATCGACCGTCTTATCAGAAAGTTTAATTGCCGAAAAAATGCTCAAGGACAAAAAGGGATCAAATGTTTTGTTTGGGCGTCGCCGTAACGCAACGAAAAGTTAATGTTTATTCTTTCCCGCCGTAAGAATGATTTTTTTTCATTACCTTATTTTATTATGTGTGGTTAGGCTGGGAGCTAATCATGTTTAAATCATTTTATTTTGCAACCAACATTTTACGCTAATTTGTTTGAAACAGCCGCTAACTGATTGTTCGAAAGAAGCCAGTTACTAGTCCGATCCACGGAAAAGTAAACCATTTGCGATTCATGACAATTATTGCTGTTTTCCGAACCGTTTGCTACATAAACGGAAAGCGGCTTATACATGTCGCCCAAGGTCTATTTAGAGCTCAAGACTTTGAATGTAAGACTATTCACGCGATAAGAAGTATTGTTCTTGTAGTATTTTTATGGCATTCCGAACACGAATGGCAAATGGCGATTTGTTGTACATATCGGTACACATATAAATACTGTTCTTGTTATACCTATACAGAAATCAGAACTTCAACTTAAAAAGTGGAAAAATACAAAGAAACCCCAAACGTGAATCGTCAGAAGAGGCTATCGTCTGCAAAGCAACAACTTGCTTAAATATTCACACCCTTGAAGTCTACTGGCAAAAATGTATTTTTGTGACGTACGAGAATCGATTAATAGAGGGAAATTTTAATCCGCTTTTAAACACTCTCAGTAGATGACTGTCGTTTGATTTAAGAGCCGAAACTGTTTAGCATTGAGGTGGTTGATTGAACTGAGGTCAAACAGAAAACTTTTTTCGAAACAGTACATGTGCGTGTCTTTTATAAACCATGATTTCAAAAAATATGTGACACAGTAAATCGGTGATAAAGCTTTCTAAATGGCCAGGATTTACTTGTTTAACTACGAGATACTTGAGATGTTTGCATACATTGCTTCTTGATTAAAAGAAATGTTATTCATGATGTTTTCTATGTAATAGGGGTTGCAGATTTCCAAAACACTTGATCAGCATCTAAAAACATCGTTCGAATCTACCGATTGTTCTGTGCTATAATAATCTGTACACACTTATAACACTATTGCAGTGCTTGAGGAGAAAAAAACATTATTTAACGGCAGCAACTTAAATAAAGGCTAACACAAAACGTTTCGATAGCTCACCTGGGAAGTGTCGAAGCTTTCTTTGCTCAAAAAATGGCGTGATGAAAACTCACATCCGTCCACAAGAGGAGTGATTTCTCTTTCTTGTCACAAAAATCACGCAATGGCAAGTGTCCGATAGAAACGCGAAGCCGCGGTGGCTTTCGCGCAAGACAATCCGCCGATATTTGTTATCCCAAACTGCGAAAAGAGATTCAAAGATGGCCGCAAAACGAACCGATGATTAACCTGTTTCCGTTAAAATTCCGCCAAGGACACACAAAAGCAGTGAATGCGGGAGTCGGCGAACGCCAACTGGTTGAAATATGGTATGCAAATTTAAAGGAAATATATGCTGACGTTCGTCTCTATTATTTTGAGATTACTGTCTGCTCTAAATAACACTTGAGACACTAGCCAATGGGTGTACGCATTAGTGATAATGCGAAAATATTGTCTATTGTTTCTACCAGAAGACGTCGGAGAAGTAGCGCGGCGCCATAGGAATTGACGAGATTTGATGGTACCAGAAGTCAACCTTTAGACTATTTTTATACAAATATTACTACAAAATAAGAAAAACTCGCTGAATGTGACAGGATGTGAATGAGCCATGACAAGCTTGGAATAAAACTTTCCTATATGAACCTGGCAAGAATACTAGAGAATAAGCCCCCCGAGGGGGTACTCCTGGCCGGCCTATGTTGGTGAGTAGCCTGCGTAGCTGGTGATTTTGCTGGTCGAGCGCGCACATAAGCGTGACGAGAGAGGCGGAAGGGGTAGCCGCTTTTCTTTCTTCCTTCTCGTCCCAAACAAAACACCAGCCACTTAGGCTGGTTGGTGAGTCCTTTCATGGCAGGAAGGAAGTTCTCCTTATCGCTGCTGTCAGGTCCTGGAGCTCGTTTCTCGAAAGTCCCCTTTGCGGTTCACATTCAAGATCGACATGATCAAAGATATGTATTAAAATTATCAGTTTGCAAAACACAATGGACTTGTGAGAGGATTAGAACTGGGGCTTATTGTTTTTAGATTTTAATTTTAAAATACAACTCACGAGAAACGGGTCCCGTGGCCGAAAGGCTTAGCTGGCTTTATCGAGCCGGTGTCGTTTTCTTGCTTACGTGCAAGTTCTCTTTTAGTGATCGATGTTGCACGGGACGATTTGCAACGACAATTTTTAGCGTAACACAGCATTGCAATGTTGCAACGCTGTGTTGCGTTTAAAATCGTCTTTGGGAATCGTCCAGCGTAACATCACCTTTAAGGTCGTCCAACTTCCTACCACTTTTGTCTTTTTATTTTCTAACTAATTATATGCATTGTAGACTACATTTAAATTGTTCAGAATTAAACACAAGCATGATAAATAAAAAATAGAGACAATACTTCACCTATAAAATCCGATCATGTATGTTTTGCTCACAAAGTTCCTGGCGGGTGGGAAACTTTGTTCCAATGCAAGCTGTGTGATTGAACTTTTTCGGATCTGCATGAAATAAATACAGTCAACTCCCTCTAAGACGAACACCTTTAGGACCGGCAGTAAGTATCCGTCTTAGAGAGATTTCCGTCTTATAGAGAGTCAAATAAAGGGAGTAAAGAAAGGCAGGGACCAACTCCAGGTGTCCGTTTTAGGGAGGTGTCCGTCTTATAGAGGTGTCCGTTAAGAGAGAGTCGACTGTAGTTTTGATAATCACATTTACAAAGTTCCTTGTATGCATGCTGTTACGCACGAACAAAGTTATTAGGATCTATTAGCAATGCCTTGTTTAATAAGCTCAAAAAATATAGGCCTGTTTCAACCCCTGCTTGTGCTACTGCCGAGCTAAGCTGGCTCGACTGTAGCTCGACTTCAGCACGACTTGTTTTCAGACGTCGACAATACAAGGAAACGATTGACAGGGACACACAACGTCAATTTTCGGAAAATATCTGTTCGGAAGACGATTTGAGATCTAGAATGTTCGGAACATTTTTTGTAAAATTTCTTGCTTGTCTGCCTGTCCTAGGATTTTCGAACATCTAAAATATGATGTAATTGCCCATTTTTAACGGATTTTTACCCTAAAAAGGTCACCTAGAATTTTCGGGAGCCTTTTTTCTGGCTGAAATTTTCGAAAAGGTAAGTTTTGATCCCTATAATTTTCGGATCACTAGACTTTCATCTAGGAAATCCGAACAGATGAAAAATTTTTAAGGGATAAAAATATGCCTATATCTACCGTTTAAATACTCAAATACGTTTAACAATGCTATGTTGAATATGTTGAAGTGGTTTTCGACTACCGGGGTATATTCTCGTTAGGTGCCCCCACGTTTAGAAAACTTAGATGTATTCTAATGTATTCATAATTTACGAACTGAGTTCGGCACGGCAGTAGCGCGACGTTTGAAACCAAGTCGAGCTACTGCCATGTAGCACGGCAGTAGCACGACTTGGTTTTAAACGTTGCTCTACTGCCGTGCTAAAGTCGAATTTAATTCCATCAATTTAGTTCGGCAAGGCAGTAGCACGACGTTTGAAACGGGCCACACTGACGCAAACGCCAGTTGCGTGCTAATGATTTGGGGCTATAATCAAACCACCTCTGCGAATGCGTCTTCAAGTCAACAAAGCTCATATCATCATGGAGTTTGTAACCACCATTCCTTTTGGAGTGAGTTTTTCTCATTAATTTAAGTTTTCTTGGAAGAGGTAATAAAGTCCTATACAGTTTATTACCGTCATGTGTTGCGGCTTTGAAAAAAGACAACGCATACGATAAATGGAAGACTTGACGCTTGATATTGAACCCTGGATTTATTTCATGATTACGAAATGAAAGGGTTCCTATAATGCATTAAAGAGCTGGACAGGACAACAATAACACACAAATACCTTTACTAATTAAAACTGAGCTCATTTCATCTTAAACAACAGTGAAATTAACTCACGTTTGCAGCGACTCGTTGATAGTTTCAAAATGTGGACAGAAACAACTTCAAAGAGTTCGGTTGTTTGCTGCAGATAGGCAAATTTATGATTACCGTTTTAATCTGCTTTATTCACGAAGAATGTATTTTCTAACAGTTCAGTATTTAATATCGAGAAAAAATTTAGCAACAAACCCCGGATGACAGAACTGGAGAGAGTTACCTCGTTCACTCACTCGTAGTATAGGGAGGTTACGATGCGACAATAGCCACGCAAGTGAAAAGCAGACTCTAGATACTACCGCTCAAACGGGAGGTCGACAAGCGACGACGAATTTTTCTTTCTCTCTCTAAACTTGAGTGCAGTCCCCAAGTAATCAACTGCAGGCAAATTCAACTCTATTGGCGACGTTTGATAATTCTACGCGGTTTTGAACTACAATAGGTTTCTGAATGTAACGGTGCTGATGTAATGTGTATTTCTGAGTCATGGCTTTCAGCGCACATCTCGGACTCTGCTGGATTCAGTCTTTTAAGGAATGATCGCACTTCTACTTTGGGTGGTGTAGTCTGTGTTTTCTTGAAACACTATTCCTTGCACCCGATTAGAGCAGTACGAGTATAGCCGGGCGTGGAATCAAAATAATAGCTTTCTTTGAGACCTCATAGCCTACCAAGATCTATCTCGTCAATAATCATATGCGTCGTCTTATCATTCTACCGCCAATAGCCAGCAGGAAAAGGAGGTTCTTTGCAATCATATACGATCTAACCTGGACACCTTGTTGATGGCTCAACCCAATTCTCTGGTGTTTGTTACCGACGATTTTAACCCAACAACACGACTTGACTCAGCCCAACAACCTCAAGTAAATGGTCAGTTTTAATACTAGAGACTCTAATATTCTTGACTGGGTTCTCACAATTTTTACAACTACCAAAGATTGCAAAAAGGGACCACTTCACAGTCTTAGCAAGACCAATAACTAGTAGCACCTGTACACTCCAGACACGGAAGGTGAAGATACGAGAACAAAGGGATAGCGCATGGCGCACCTTTGGGCGTTGGCTGACAAATAAGGATTGGTCACCCGTTCTCGCTGCTGAGTCATGCAAAGAAAAACTCGACATTTTTATCACGGATTTACAGAATGCAGTAGACACTTACCTCCCTTGGAAAACATTAAAAGTTCACCCAACTGATAGACCATGGACTACAAAGAAAATTAAAAAGTTAATTAAGGAGCGCCAAGCTGTGTTCACCTGGGAAAGAAAGGATTCTCCATTGTACAAGCTCTTAAGGAACAAAGTTGAGCGTGAGATCAGATCTGCTAAGTTCCACTGTTACTATCATAAAGTCAGTGATATTCAACATACGGATTTGAAAAGGTGGTGGAAGCAGATTAAGTCATTGATTGGTCAGGATATCCATCAAGAATGGTTCCATCAATTTCTTCGTGATGACTGTCCTGTGATACTAAGTCTCTGGCTAATAGAGTGAATGATCACTTTATTAGCCTGACAGCTGGATTTAAACCTCTCCAGGTCCCTAAGCCAGTTTCCCAGCAAGTCCCCCAGGTCTCCTTGTTAGCAGAAATCCATGACTCCTTGACAAGAATAATTGTTGGTAAAGCTATTGGACCAGATATGCTACCCGATAGGCTCCTAAAGGAATTTGCACCCGAGCTTGCGTCAGCTATAATGAGCATCTAAACCGTTTGCTTAAGAAGGCTATGTCACAGATTTATTAAAGTGCTCCATTATCAACCCATTACCTACGGTCCCCCCTCCCAAGGAAATCCAGCCAGACTTAAGACTTATTTCTCTAACCTGCACCCTCTCTAAGGTTATGAATGGCTAGACTTGTCCCTCAAATGTCAGACAATTAAGCTGAACCCACGCCTGCATGCAAGCGAGGGTCACTCTAAATCGAGCGCTTTAATTTATCTCCACCAAGCAATTCATGGGGCAACGGACAGGGAGTATGGTGCCAAAATATTCTTGGCAGATATTTCAAGAGGCTTCGACATGATTGATCACAGTATACTCCTAACTGAATTGGCAAGCTTTAGTATCGATCCTGCACTAATCAACTGGATCAAGGAGTTTCTTATCAGCCGATCGCAAGCGGTTAGAATTGGCAATTCCCTGTCCGAGCGGAAATCACCTATCGGAGGAATTCCTTAAGGAACTAAACTCGGTGTCATCTTGTTTGCTGTTATGACGAATGATCTTTTACGCAACTGGCATCTAAGGATAAAATTTGTGGAGGACACGACTGCGTTGGAAATCTTGCCAAGGAACGGTGTCAGCTTCTTGAACCACGCTGTTAGCAACATACATCAGTTTTCGTCCGAGCATAACATGAGGTTGAACCCCAAAAAGTGCAAGGAAATGCTCGTAAATTCCATGCATAATCGTATATTCAGATAATAATACATGAAATAAACTTGTATTGGCTTTCATTGCATAGTAATATCTAGAAAATTATTGCTTCGCAAACCTAACTTGACGAATGGAGCCAGGGTTCCAGCTAGCAGGGTATACCTAGAGATTGCCAGCTAGCGAAAGAAATATAGTAATAAAAATGGATGGTTAGACTTTCATGTCTTACCCTAATAAGACGAAAACCCTGCCTCACAGTGGTCGTATTCACACTAGAGACGGATTATCCGTTGGATAATTCGCGTCAGACAGATAACACGTCTTAATTTGAAAATGGAATGGTCTTAATTTTGGATGAACTATCCGTCTAACTCCATCCATCGGTTTTTCCTTCAATTTTGACAGATTCTGAAGATGGATTATCCGTTTCAGACTGATAATCCGTCTCTGGTGTGAAAACGGCCTGTGGTTTCAGTCAATCTGACTCTTTGGAACCTAAGGGAGTGACAAGAGATACAAGAAATCTCTGGCAGTGAACCAATCCTGCTGTCCATCTCAATTTCCAAGGGGTAAGGGGTATTTTCTTTAGGGAAGTCATTACCACTAACTTCTTTAATTGTAAACTGTGCCACAAGAAGTGTTGTCAAGTCCCTACACAGTCCTGCAAATTATTCATGAAAAGTCCTAAGAGTAGTAGATAATGATGAATAAATGTTACCATTACGCCAAAAAGCTAAAAAAAATTCGAAGGAAGGCTTACGGTAAGGTCTTTTTCGGAAATTCCGAACGAAAATTTAGGACTACGTTTTTTGTTGGATTGGAACAAACGGAGTGTCGCTTACCATTAATCCTTCTCTGGGTCCCCGTCTCCGCGCATACCATGGTGGGGTTGAGGGTAAGTTCAGCAACTGCCACAAGCTTACAATAAAAATTAACAATTTTATTCCAATGGCAAAATGTTTTCACAGGTTTCAGTTAAAGAAATTGGAACGCGACGCTGCTCTGAAAAACGATTTAAGAAATGAGTCTTAAAATAATCATTCTAAATTAATAAATGGAAACAAACGAAGGTGATAACGAAAAAATAAACGACGACAGAATAAGAATAGTTGAGGGCGTTTGCCCCACCCAAAGTTATGATAGATATTTCACAGAAAAGTTAGCGTTAAGGAGAATGTTTTCGCAATGTGTCATGTGTTTCCATGGAAACGCCTTCCAAGGAGTGCCTCACTGAGAGCTTGTCAGAAGAACGTCTGTGAAGCGAAGGGCTTGGGCTTGATTGAGGCCTCGTCGGTGACTGGGACCTTAGAGACGAGTTTCCACGGTCATCGAGCCAAGCACCAGAAACTTTAGGCTTGAGGTCAGCTGCTTTATCACTTGAAGAACTTACGATGCTGGAGTCTGACTGCGTAGCACGGATTCCTACAGAGGCTTGAGAGGAAGTAGCACGGAGTCTAGAGACCTTTGGGGCTGGGAGTTTAGGAGGCGATGGCATTAATTCGTACACACAAGAGACAACCTGAGGAGAAGACGAAGTGATTTTGGCAAACCTCTCCATCGAGGAGGTTGTTCTTGGAATGTCTAGGAGATAAAAAAGAAAACTTAAGGTGGCTCGACTGGATTTTTTAGGGGGGATACCTCCGAAATTTGAGCATTAATTACGTCGCCATGAGTAAAGATATGGAAAAAAGGTTTCCGCAACTGTATCATATAAAGATGAAAATTTCTTATGATTGGGGTTTTATCGCAATCGGAGTCGCCATGGCAACGTAACGACGCCATGACGTTTTTTATTTACCTTTGCGTTTCTCTGCACCTGGAGTTTTTTTTAAGAAATCGCTTAAGGGAGTTTGTACCTGCCATAATTGCCTCAATTATTGTAAAGTTTGAACAAATTCTATGAGAGCGTTTTCGAAATATTTTGAAACGAAGTTTTCAGCATCATATAAACAGTGAAATAGCATGCTATCCACACAATTAGCTAATTTTTAAAGAAAACGGTAAGCTTTGGAAACGCGGCTTCATCCCATTGTGATTTGATTCCGTTGAAAACTGCGTACAAAAACAGAGGGGAATTGCTCTGGGGGATCGCGAGTAAGAAGAATTTTATTAACTTGCATTCAGCTGCTTTTGTTACAGTTTTTGCGCGTAATTTGGTCCACGCCTACAAATTTCGCATTTTCCAAAAAATCGCTCGATAAGTTTTTTTATAAATTTAAAAATCCCGAGATCAATCGTCAATAAATATACCCTGCGAGTTTCAAGAACATTGAAAACAGGGAAGACTTTTAAATAGGGCCTCAAATATAACCAATTTTTTCCCCCAGATTTTGTGTTTACAAGTGAGCGTCCACATTCATATGCACGTGCACATTTAGCAAAAAGATAGAATTTGCATCAAAAAGGACCCTCGGTTAATTCTCCGGAATATGCTAATAACCGGGTAAATAAATTAGTGATATATTCTAACATCACAGCAACTCTTTGTAAGAGTTTCTGTGATGTTATAACCCGAGTAAGATAATTAAGTGTTACATCCTACAAGATGAGCCGTGACGTTCACCGTCTCGGCTCTCACTGCTATCTGTGACACAAGCCAATTATTAGCATATTCCGTATATTTCTTCGGAAAGTAATCGAGAGTTCTTTTTGATGCAAATTTATTTTTTTTTGCTAAATGTGCACGTGCATATGATTCTTGAAAAGAATGCAAGTGAATAATAAGGACGCTCACTTGTAAACACAAAATCTAGGGGGGAAATTGGTCATATTTGAGGCCCTATTTAAAAGCCTTCCCTGTTTTCAATGTTCTTGAAACTTGCAGGGTATATTTATTGACGATTTATCTCGGGATTTTCCAATTTCTAACAAATTTTATTGAGCGGTTGTTTGGAAAATGCGAAATTTGTATTCGTGGACTAAATTACGTGCAAAAACTGTAACAAAAGCAGCTGAATGCAAGTTAATAAGATTCTTCTTACTCGCGATCGCTCAGAGCAATTCCCCTCTGTTTTTGTACACAGTTTTCACTGGAATCAAACAACTATGAGATGAACCCGAGTTTCTAAAGCTTCTCGTTTTCTTAAAAAATTAGCTAATTGTGTGGATAGCATGCTATTTCACTGTTTTTATAATGCTCAAAACTTCGTTTCAAAATAGTTCGAAAACGCTCTCATAGAATTTGTTCAAACTTTGCCATAATTGAGGCAATTATGGAAGGTACAAACTCCCTTAAGCGATTTCTTTAAAAAACTCCTGGTACACAGAAACACAAAGATAAATAAAAAACGTCATGGCTTCGTTACGTTGCCATGGCGACTCCGATTGCAATAAAACCCAAATCATAAGAATTTTTTATATTATATAATAGGTGTGGAAACCTTTTTTCCATATCTTTACTCATGGCGACGTAATTAATGCTCAAACTTGGGAGGTATCCCCCCCAAAAAATCCAGTCGAGCCACCTTAAGCATGATGTCTTTTATACGCGTTGATGCAATGCACGCATGACAAAATTTTTATTCCACCAACACAACGGAAATAAAGCAAAGATCTTGAGCTCTTCTCGCGCTAGCGACATGTGGAAGGAGAAAGAGAGAGATCTTCACCGCTTAACAAGCAAGTGAGGACTATATCTAGCAGATTATTTAGAAACGATGGGGCACAGGAGATTTTTCCTTTCCACTTATAGAACCACGTTCAACGGTTATTTTTGTGCAAGTTGCTACTTTCTTCGAGACAGAATCGTTTGCACATCATTACTACACAGTCAACTCTTGGAAAAGGAAAGATCGAAAGCTACTATGGTACCTAAACATCAAAGCCACTACTCGCGTACCATGACCCTTGCAGTCGTATGTAAAACCTAGAGAAAATAAATCTTATTACTCACCAATACCACTCACGATATCTGATCCGCTAATCTTTCTTCCGAAACTATATCGCGGTTTCCTTTCGTCAGAGGCCGAGACACTTTGGAGCATGAGGTCCACAGTATCTATCACTGTCTTAGAAAATTTACCACTAGGAAACTTTCTCTGCTGATCAAACGTGCTTGATGCCCCAAGATTTCCTTCTGTATCCTTTTTGATTTCTTTACGGGATCCTGTACCTTCAGCTGCGGTCGGTTCATCGGTTGTACGCAACATTTGCTGCACTATATCATCGACTGTATCGTGGATGGAGCGCGAAATGTTGACGTTTCTATAAGTAGGGTAGCCCTCGACTTTGATAACATCTGTTCGCGCAGGAACGAGCTCTTTATTAGTCCCTGGAAATGAAACAATCTCCGCGCTCGAAGAAACAAACATTTTACTACTTTTGACGGAAGATTCACCAACAGCACCAGATGAAACATCTTGTACCTCATTTGTGTCTTCACCTTCGGGTTTCTTCCTTGTAGTGACTGCTTTGTCTTCGTCACTTGGCTGTGACACTGTGACCTCCTGTGAGGATCGGGAGCCTTGCTGATTCATCATCACTCCCACTAACGAACTTTTTGCAGCGGATGAAAGGGATTTTGACAGAGAAGGTCTTGCACTTCGACTTAGTACCTGTTGAACGGTGTTTCCTCTTATTCCTTCTGGATCAACTGTCTTCCTGGCTGCTAAAATGTCAGCACTAGAGGCCGGACGTGTTTCCGCTTCAGCTCCCTCAGGAGTCAGCCGTTTGTCGTGGATAATTCGTTCCAGGCTAGGAACGACGTTCTTCATGCTCTTGATCATCTCACTTTCCTTATCATCGGCAGAATCTCCGTCAGTTCGATCTACTTCCGAGCCCACACCTTCTGGCTGAGACTTGTGCTTCCTTGGAAGGGTAGGAGGCAATGAGGTCAAACACTTCTCGACATTTTCCGATGCCTTTTCGAGCTCTTTAGTCGAACAGGACAATTCCTTTCTCAGATGTTCACCCGAAGGAGCGGATCCTTTCAAGACCATTTCTGACTTTGTAGCTTTCTTCGTAGTCTGTTGTAGGTCCAAAGAACTTGCGGATTGACACGACGTTTTTGCGACAGTTTGGGCCAAAACGGCAACAGCATTCGAAGTCGATACTTCTACACCTTGGGGCCCTACATCTATTTCCAAGTCTTTAGGAAATGTTAAAGTCGTTTCTGTTGAAGCACGAGGAAAAACCTCCCTATTTTCTTCATTATCTTGTGCTGATGTATTTGACGACTGGGCGACTTTTCCCCCGGAATGACTTTTTGACAAGGGGGCTTTAACGGTTGATGTACGAGGAGAAGGCATGATATCGTTGACAGAAAATTGTGAGGCTAATCCTACATTGTCAGGAGACATACTTTGTGACTGAGAGACTTTTTCTTTGGAACTCCGTGGAGATAACACGGCCTTGATAATAGATGCACGTGGGGAGTTGGAGACCTTCCCTTTCATGGCACGCGAAGAAATCACTGCCACCTCAGTAGATGGGCGAGGTGACGATGCTCTCGTAAGTGAACTGCCTGTTTCATTTCTTGTTGCAGAGAAAATGTTTGAATGTTTGTCTTTCACCAAAGATTTTTGAGTAAGAGCAATTTTACTTCGAGAAGAAGAGTGGCCAGATTCGTCTTTTGTAGGCAGGGACTCACGTGATGTTGCCATTCTACTGAGGGAGCCTTTTCTTGCAGAAGGTTTACATGGCAACTTCGCAGACTGCTTTGACGATTGGGGAGAAGGTTTAGAAGATTTTCTTATTTGCAGTGACGAGGTTCGTTTTGGTTGCCCAGAAGATTGCTTCAGAGAACTTTCGCTAGATGATCTTTGGCAGATTTTCGAAGTGGAATTAGTTATATTTGGCAAACGAGATGAAGATGGTATTGTGCGGTTATGCGATTCCTGATGCTGAGAAACATGTTGGACGCTCTCACCGGCGACAAAAGACCCTTTGGGTGACAAGGAGGGTAGGCTTGTTACTGAAGTAATACTTTTCTTTTGCTTCCACAAAACCTCATAACTCTCCACACGAGCAGCGATCAGTGAACACTCTGATGGGTTCAAATGAGGAAGGACAACATACGACCCACACGGAGAGATCTCACAACTGGCACATTCTTCTCGTTTCTTAATAATATCGTAAAGAGACGGTTTTTCAGTCACGGTCGAGCTTTGATTTTGAACGAAGAGCTTGGAATCGGACGCCGATCGCTCCCTTTCTGACACTGAAACATTTTCACAGTTGATTCCTTGTCCCGGATCTGACACACGTCTCTGAACAACGTCACCGTCGGTTACTTTGAGAATGTTCAAGTCACTATCTGATGGGCTGCACAGTTCTTTATCAACCTCTTGAAGTTCTTGCAAAATAGGCTGCGCACGAGCTTTTCTGAAACGTGGTGTAGGAGGTCTATTGACAACGCTCAGGAAGTCTGTTTCTCGTGGAACATAACTGTCTCTGCGGGAATGAAATAGAGAATCCTCGTTGAAATGTACGGAGCTACTTCTTCGACGAGTGAAGCGGGCATGCCCTGGTTTAACATCGGGAACAAAAAAGAAAGACGTATTCTTCATCTGGGTTTTGACAATTTCCTTGGCGTTTTCTACAACGTCATTAACAATTCTTGAAGCTTTTAATGATAGCTTTTCCCGCTGGAAGAGATCTTGAACAAGTGGACTATACTCGGCATCAGCTTGAAGGGCCTCGCTATGAGATATAAGTTCGTAATCTTCAAGGTCATCGCTATCGTCATTGAAGTACCCCACTGATCCAAGTCTCCTCAAGGCTCCGTTAATAAGGCCTTCCACGTAGGTTGAAACCTTCCAAAACAGCTGCCCATGATCAGAACCCGGATAGCTTGGTACTAACTGGTTTTGCTGAACTGAACGAGCAACGGAATCCTCAGCTGACACAACCACTGGTGATGCTAGTTCAAAGGCCGCTTTGCAAATCTGCAAATCAAGATCGACCGTGGAACTACGTTCTTGTACTTGAGCTAGCATAGCTTCAGCAGATCTAACAGCATGAGATGCCATATGGCCTGTAGCTTCCTCCAGCTCTGACCCTCCAATAAAACCACGATCAAAAAGCTCCCCTGACGAGGCTTGCGCGGAAATTGTAGTTACTTTGGCTGCTGCCTTTAGTAGGCAAGAATCACTTTGAACTTTCTGCTGCAACAAAGACTCGTCTCCGTGCAGTTTGGCGATAGACTTGGATGCCGATTCAATCGCACGGCAGGCCAGTTCTCGAGCGGCAGTTCCGAGTCCTTCTTTACCGAGACGCTGGCTTAGGTTTCGGGAAGAATCAACCAGGCTTTTCGAGATGTCCAAGGCTGCATTCTCTATGTTACTTTCTATCTCATTTGCGATACAATATAATCGCTGCAGAGACGCTTCTGCCGCTTGTAAAGCATTTGATGCCAAATTGCGGGCCGCCACCATCAACTCTACCTCGCGCTCCTTGACATCTAAAATTTGTTCGAACGACTCAGAAGCAGATGACATGATAGAGATCTCTTTAGAGGGAGGTAACAATTCTATTTCTGGTTCGATCTTGATTCCATATAGTCTTTCTATAGAGGCTTTTGTAGAATTAAGTACGTTGGTGACAAGTTCGCGAGTTGTGTATGTCAAATCCCGTTCATTTTCCTCAGCCATGCGCTGAAGAGACCTTGTAGCCGATTCAACAGCGACCTCTGCTATTCTTTTCACAGCTTCATCCAAGCTTGAAAAAATTCTTAACGCGTCCTCTTCCGATCCTGGTGCGACACTCTCCCTTTGAAACCAACCAATTGACGCTTTGGCAGAATCCATAGCGCTCTTGGCCAATTCTCTTGCCGCAATTGTCAGATCGAAATCACGTTTTTTCGAGTCTTTTTCCATTGACTGAGTTGCTGAAATTATGGCAGTAGCTGCGATTCCTATAACAGCTTCTTCACTTTCGTCTTCAAAATCAACCTTAATGCCATAAAGGTTTTGAATCGATGCCACAGCTGCTTGGATAGCGTCGTTTGCAAGCGACTGCGCTACACGACTTTCAGTTTTGCTTATTATTTTCGTGGGACTTAGCAACTGTGAAGATGAGGTAAGAACGCCTTCAGCAACATCTTTAGCCGATTCTGCCAAACACGCTAAAATGTCCGTGGAAGGAGTTACGTCCTCTTCTTCAAATTCAACAATAACACCAAGAAAAGTTTCCAGGGAAGCTTTTGCGGCGGCAACTGCATCAAGTGCCAAAGATCGTGCAGCCATCACATTGGAATCATGTTTAAAATAGGTTCGTTCCAATGAGCGTGTGGCCGAGATAATAGCCGCAGCTGCCACTTCTTTAGCGCATATATCCAAACTGGACCAAATTTCATGAGTATCGACTTGATCTTTTGCGTCGAGCTCACAAGTTGTACCATACAATTTTTCTAATGATGCTTTCGCTGCTAGAACAGCATCAGCGGCTAGTGATTTTGCTGCACTTATTTCGCGATCACCTCTGCTATGGTGACAAGCTGACATTACAGCAACGGTTACAACGTCTTTAGCGCATTCAAAAAGGTTTTCGGAGATATTTTCAGCTACTGTCTCTTTTTTTGGTCCAAGGTCTTGTCCATCTCTTAGTGCTCTCTGGAAAGCAGAGTCTATAACTGCGGTGACAATTTCTCGAGCAGAGTCACGTAGTGATGCTCTCCACTTATACTCTTCCCTAGCATTACTAATAGCGGTTGTAACTATCTCTTGAGCAGCTCGCCGCCTTTGCTCGTCTAGCGAAAGCAATACTCCAGAGCTTTCTTCATCACCTAAAATTCTTTGAGCATTATCCACGATACGCTGGACGTATCCGGGAACTTCTTTACCGATTTCAAGCCTCTCTTGTATATCGAGCGCATGTTGTGCGTTTGAAATTATGCCAAAAACGACGTGAAGAACTCTTTCGCGTAAAGCAAATTCAGCCTCAAGTCTTGATAAGAGTTTCTCAAACTCATCAACTTCCTCGATTTGTTTTGAGGTGTGTTCCTCTGCCAGCTGAGAAAGGAAAAAATACATTGTCATCAGCTGGACAAAAATGTGCAAAATGCGGGCCTGCTCCGGAAATTACGAACTAAATTTTTAGTGAAAAAGGTTTGGTTGCGCGACATAAATTGAAGTTATTTAAATGACTCTTTACAGATATTCACCTTATTTTTGTATGTTATAGATCATCTTACCGTTTCTAACTGTCTTGCTCTCTGCTTTGCTTTCCTGCCCGCAAAAACAACGCCACTGCAAAAAAGACAGACCACCGAGTGAGTAAAGATTGATTCATTTAAGAGTAAATGAGGGCGTAGCAGAATTAAAATCCAACAAATTGAGTTCCCAATAAATAGAATTTAGAATTGAGTTTACACTAAATTCTACCTTAAACAGACTCAGTGCCGGGCTCAATGGTGCCAGCACTGGGAACGTTACTAATACCCCGTTTACACAAACGATTAAACATGTTTAAAAAATGTAAGTTAACCTCTGGGATTCCGTATTAAGGAGTTACCCGACGGAACGCGTTACGAGAAACACTGCATTCAAATGATTTCAAAGCAGAACAGGGTCAAGTGCAGATAACAGTTATAGGTCCAAATGAACCACAGAACAAAAATCTACTTCAGCATTTTTCAAGCTTGCTTTCGTTTGGTGCGAATAATAATGAAAAATGTCGACTTCATTCACGTTTGGTATTCTTTCCCAAGACCTCTGCATGTTTTTTGTAATGGCAATGCCGCTTAAAAGCAAGAAAATTATTACAGTTATAGACGCATCTTTTGAAGTTACCAAATAAAAATTGAAAAATTCTATCCTTTGAGCTAACAAGGCAACTGCAAGATGGTCATTTTTGGTTCATTATAAACCCGTGGAAGGATGAGGATGAAATAACAATAATAAAAAAAAAACTGATGATTTTGCAGTTTGGTCATACGTTCTGACAGTTAAATGATTCAAATATTACATCTGTACCTGTAAACTCCGTTATCATCAATTCCAAAATCGTTTTTCAAAGATGACTGCAAGTCCCAGACACTCGACAAACGAGATCTGCGTCTGTGCTCTGGTCCAACGTCACTTGGTCTGCTTCGAAGGGAACCTCTGTGTCCCTAGAAAGAACACACAAATGACATTTTCAGCAATCCAGTGGTTTTAATAGCTAGCCGTTAGGGACATTTTTGGTGGCTTCGAGCACAGGAGAGCGACTTCGTTTGAAACTGCACGAAAGTGAGTGCGGCTATGACAGTATAAAACAAAAATGTTCATTTACGAACAAGGAGCGGTACTTCGATAGCGAAACGCTACCTTGGAAGTAAAAGTGGATTTAGCGCATAATGTCGCTTAATTTTTATGCGTGCGTACGCACATGGAATTTAAGTGGATAAATAAAATACAGACAATGCATAAAAGGCCGATGGTAAACGTAAATGTACATTGCCTCTACTTTATTTACGTACGTACGCATGTTAAAATTGCACGACGGTGGAAATCCACTTTAAGAACGATACTCACCTGCTGCAAATGTCTCTCATGCATTCGCTGGTGTTTTTGTTTCCATAACTCTAAATCTTTCATTTTCTTTTCTCTCATTTTCTCTAGAAAATCTTCAGCCTCCTGATGTTGTTTCTCCAGTGAATCGCGCCTCCCTTGCAAGCACAGATCATGGTAAACTGAAAAGAAGACAATTATCGGGTAAGAAGAAAATTGGCTATTATACAGATGTTTGAAAGAATCAATTTGCGTTTTAATCCAAAAGGTGGGTTCGGCTGAGTGTAACCCTAACCATTAGTTTTGACGCAAAAAGTTAGGGATAAAATTCGTAAAGTTAATCAATATGAAGCTCACGAATTTGGCTAAAAAAACTCATACGTAAGCAAAAGTAAAAGTAACAGTAAGTTTGTTACATTGTTTTATTAACTTCTTTCTTTCTTTTCTTCTTGTATATGTTTGAAATTCTTTTATTACCTTGGGTGGGCACCTCGCATGCGTCTAAGTGTCCCGTTCGTAGCTTTTCCCTTTGGGCATTAATCTTCATTTTTTTTGTAGTCTTCTTTTTTTCTACTCATACTACTTGGCCAATAAAGCATGTAAAAGTAAAAGTTCTTGCACTCAATCTCGTCATAGTAACCTAGTGTAAATTAAAAGGTCCCTAATGCCTGATCACTGGCACCATTTTTCACTGGTTATCGCTTCTTTATCCACCATCCTATCTGTTTAAACGATCCCCTAAAACTTATGCTTACACTTGCGGTTGTATTTTGCTAAGCGGTAAAATGTATTACCTCGGCTTTTGCGCCGCTGTTGCTCCACAATGGATGTTCTTCGCGCCACATTTCTGATATGCTCTTCTCTTTCTTTTTCTTCTTTTCTGCGTTTTTCTTCTTGGCGCTCCAGCGACAGTGAACAGCGTCGCTTCCAAGACTCTCTCAGCTGGAAAAATATAATAGAGACATTTAGATTCGAGGATAAAGATTTTTTACGTATTCTCAAAACGTAAGCTTCGGTAAGTTTCGCAATCCTTTTATCAGCGGTTATCCTTATCGAAGGAGAAGGTTAAGCCCTCTTCCGATCGCAAAACCGTAAAACTTCTAACATTTGCTAACTTGTTCGATACTTGTTACTGAGAAAATCTCGTCCTTGTATTCCTTCTCGTCTTGCAATCTAAAAGTCATTAATAGCGACAGTCTGTCTCTTTCTTTCTATTGCGTTTCATCAAACCGCATTTCGTCGTTTGCAGTAAAATGACCAAACTTCGATCCTAACGTCTCTAATATCTGTAATTAGTCACCTGAAGCAGCAGATAACAGAGACTACCAACGATAAAGGCGATAAAAACGTGAATAGAATCTTGATACCTAAACGCTTGGCGAGCGGGCTGCTTGGCTACTCACCTCCCACTAACAACACTATAAACAAAGCCCGCTTTCACCCAACTTATATCCAATTTTCACTTCACCAATGCTGTAAGGAGGTTTCGTTCGTTAAACTGAGAACTTTGTTATATAGAGGTTCGTTAAATCGGGGGTTCTACTGCAACATGAAACTATACTACCTTTATATGTGCAGAAAGAACATGACAACTGGCGCGGTATAAACCTTCTGGCTAAAATTTGATCAAATACGCACTCACAGAAATAACAACCACTCGCTATTCGACCAAAGAAAATTTCAGCTTGCTCGTACGGTTCTTATATGTGGGTCGGTTCTAACTGCATTTGAGTGATCAGGAAACAAACCTTCTTTTCTTTTTCCTCGTTGAGCGTTTGTCGTCTGATTTGTAGCAGACTTTCTCTCCGTTTGTCCTCCGAACCTCGCTTTACAAGAAGACGGAATTTAAACTTCTTTGCCTGAAAAAAGAAAAACAGAATGTAGATACATCAATAGAGCAATATGGTTTGCGTATTCTTCCATTTCTTCCGTTCAGTCTTCAGCTATTTCGTCTTCGGATAGCCGTGATACGGACCATTAGAAAAGTTATGGGGGGGGGGATTTTCGAGCCGCAGGAATTTTTTTCCGTTATCAAATTCCTTGCATGAACTTTTTTTACGCCATAGCATGAATATTTTTTAGCGGAGCTCTGGCGCGTGAAGCGCGCCTGCGGAGCACCATGGGTAAGTAAATCTACCCATCCCAGAAAATTTGGTAATCACGTGACAGTACACCGCCCGCCCTCCCGCACCACAGGAAAACCAATGTTCAATCTCACACTTTCTTGCACACATATTGCACATCAATGTTATGATCAATTGACAGCTGTCAGAACAGGGTATCAGCTGTCCAGTATCACTTGACCGTATCGCGGGCTCAGGTGTTGCCCCTTTGAGGTCGAGTATGTTTTTGAAGTTATCCGCTGACAAGTTACTAGTTTTCAAATGATCGCAAGCTCACGTTTAATTTTTTTTAATTCATATGAAATATGTTGTGTTGTATGTGCCACACAATTAAAATTTTGCTTTCAAACTGACCTCGGAAGCTAGAATTCAGCCAGTTTTTACAGGCAGGGAGGACATGCCAGTTGCTTATGACTTTTCTCGCCAAGATCACGGGTTGGTCACGCTCTACGTCCAATTTTATGCTCTGATTGGTCAAAATTTGACAGGTGAGTTCATGCGGAAAATTTACGCAGCATTTTAAAACTTGTTTACTTTGACAGCTGAAGCTGACAGAGTTTTTTGTCAACTTGTGATGTTTTTAACTGTCTTTTTCCACTGAATGTGCAAAATGAAATTCAGCTGCTATCAGGAGTCTTCTGTTATTCATGGCTAGTTTGTTTATTGGATCTTTGGTTGAGAAATACATCGCTTGTCAAAGTCGGAAATCCGATTTTCGTTTTTCACCCTGCTTGATGCGCAAGAGGGTTGAAAAGTCTGAAGCGATTCTGGCCTTTAAAACTTGATAGTTCTCAGTGCATCTCGAATAGTAAGCCTGAGTAATTATTGTACTTGATGTTTGTTTAATGAAGTCGAGCGTAGTTTATGGGGCTATTTAGTTTATGCACGTTTGTAAGATTTGAGACAATGATCTGACCGAGTATCAGGTTTGATTATAATCTTATAGAACTTTAAAAAGCCTCTAGACATTTTGTCACCGCAAATAAAAGAAAACGTTCCAAAGAATATTTAGTCATAATTCTGGCTGTAAAAGAAAGCTTTGAGCGATTTCCTTGCCTCGAGTTAATCTTTGAAAAAAGCAAACACCGGGAAGCCGGCTTAAAACATAAACAAGGATTTTTAGAGACACTTTAATACTTGTCTTCGTGAATGAAAATTGTTGTCTGTATATGTTTCACCGAATTATTTTCCTTTTATTGATTGTTAGTAGTCTCTTTTGCAATTTTAATCGCTGTCCCGTTTGTTTTCAGTCATGAACATCGCTTGCAGGAGTGGTCAAATTGCCGCGCGTATCAAACGCTTTGGAAGATTACACATCGTTATAAAGCCATTATGTTGAAGCGTATAACTCTGTTAATCTTAATTTAAACAGTCGACTTTAGCGCTTGTCAAAAGTGAGAACCGGCTCGCCGTATAGGTGATTTTGGAAATCTTTAAACGGTTTCGCTAACGTGTGCTTCGATCGTCGTGAATATTAAATGAGTGCAATTTGTATTTCAAAATTGTGAAATACTGCTTTCTGTCCGAGGTCTGTGTGATAAAAACAGCGCCTCATGGTACTATTTCACCTCAGATGTGATGCATAAAAAGTATAAAAGGTTGGTTTACACGTCCCCAGACTTGTTGGCAAGATTTTGTAAAGTAAACTTGTCGAACGCAAAAGATTCGGTCTGATTTACTTTCCTAATGTACTGTGATCAAGAACCATTATGGCTATGCTATTTTTTAGGTGTACATATAAGGCTTTCAAGTCGATGTAGGATTAATTTCACTCTTGGCTTGGATTGTTTGCAAATTATTTTTCTTTGAAATTACGCAGCCTTTCCCTCAAAAGTCACATGAATGTGCTCTAAAGTTAACTGATTTGTGGAATACAAGTTTACAATTGTTTGATTTAAATTATAAATTCGAGTTAGTAGGGGCTTCGCTTTTAGCCCTGGCTAAATCTATATAGTAGGATTAATTGCGCGAATATATTTTTTGTACTTCGCCCGCTCCCTCCCCATAAGTTTTCAAATGGTCCGTCCCTAAACAGCTAGGTTTCCGCGCCTGAAGACGAGTTTGGTCGATGGGTTAATAGGCATTATTATTCATTCAAAATATTTTCCCGATTCTGATCGGCTAAAAGCACACATTTAATTCACCATAACCAGTTACTGATGACCAAATTTGGAAGCATTTTGTGTTTAACAAGGAAATGACGTCAAAAATGCAGCGTTTTCGTAGGTTAAGGCACCGTTAACCGAGAAGACCTGAGGACGAGGTTGAGTTGTTTTGCTTGTGAACTTGAAAAATGGCGGACATTTCACTCGTTTCAAGAGTAAGAACTAGGCGAAAAAATAGCTAAAAACATGGCAAGAACGGCACGAAGACAACTCGAAGAGCGACATCCGCTATTTGGAGAATATTTGCGGAGCTGCACAAACCTAAACGTGCACTATCGGAAGATGAACTTAACATCGATGGATCGATGGAGGTAAGCATGTTTTAGCCATGTTTTTAAACTAGGAATTATTTTGAATGAATAATAAACAATTATTGAATTCGGCTCTCGTATCATATGAAGAATTATGGAGATCTCAGAGGGTGTTATCAACACCTTCCTCGATCTCCATAATTCTTCATAACATACTCAGCCTCATTCATTAATTGTTAAATACAAAATCGAATGGATGGTATATTGCTCGCATCTTCCAAAATATGGTAAGCGCCAGTTGGTTATGATGAATTAGCCGGGGGATTAGAGCCAATCAGAAACGACGAAATATCATCAATGAATAGCAAGTTTGTAAGTGTTAATGTTGGGTGGAATTTATATCTTTTTTATTTTGTAAGCGCGCAGTTCTTTATTATTCACAGACGTATGAAACGGAGAAGAATATCTGCGCTCACAAATCAAACAAGATTCTAGTTCCGACAAACCTTTTCATCCTCTTCGACCTTTTCTGCTTGTCTTTTCGCAAGAGCCTTTTCTCTTTGACATTCGTTTTGGTCCTTTTTTCTTTTCAAGTCTTCTTCGCATTTCTCGCGTCTTTTTCGGTCTAGTTCTTGTAGCTTGAAGTATTTTCGACGATCTACCTCGCGACGCTTGATACCGCGCTCTTTAAGTTCTCTGGCTTTCTGTTCTCGTCCCCGCAAAATACTGTAAAGTTCTTCGTCTCGCAGTAGGTGTTCCCGAGCTTGCTTTTCCTTCCTTTGTTGTTTCTCGATCTGTCGTTGCCGTCGGTGTTCCTGATGCAAGCGATCCAACTTGAGCTTTCTTATCCACTGGCGAAACATGTTGAACTCGAGAAGCGTACATTTAACAAGGCCACTGGGCGTGATGAAACCTTTATTGACATAATGAAAATGACACCAGATTTTTTTTTTTGGCGTATTAATCTGGGAAGCCGGAGGACAGACAAATTATTTTGCTGAAAACTAAAAACTGAAAAAAAAAAATGAATATTCCGGTAAAAAATGTATATATTTGTAACACAGCACTGTCTTCCCTAATTTTGGGGTCTAAAAAATAGATCCATTCGGCTAACTCAATGCTGTACCCTATTCAAACCCTTTGGGAATAAAACGTTCTGTTTCAGGAATTTTCATAAATGTGAATTCCACATTATAATGCAAATACACCCGACGTAGTCAATCGAACGTTCGGCAATCGTACCCAATCGAACCCAATCGCTCGATTGGGTGCGGTAATCGAACTTAATCGAACTCACAAAAAAATTTTGCCAATCGAACGCAATGGAATGTTCGGTAATCGAACAGTTCAACAATCGAACATAATAGAACTCAATCGAACATACTCGAACACCAACAATCAGAAACACGAAGCAGTTTCATCTGGTCTGAAACAAAGCGTTGCGGTCAAATAAGTTATTTATTAGCTTCTATTTCAAACACGAGTATAACAGGTAGGATGTCGGACAGGGCAGAGGTGAAACTTACCATTCTGGAAGCGGTGG